CAGATATCAAAATACTTTTTCAGAATTTGAGAAAGTCCTATGAAGACCTGTATCTGAGTGAACATCATGCTATTGGGTCACATGGTATGACTGCCATTTTGGATTCTGGTAATATGTTGAAGGTTTTCAAGGCTTTTCTTAGCATAAATGGTAAAAAGTACAGTTGTGAAACTTCGTGTACATAATCCATTTTCCATTTTTGGTAAAAAGGTAGGTTATATATGTTGCATCTATGTTGTATTTTGTATTATACACCAAAATGGAAAAGAATCTTGATATGTACTAAATTTGTACTATTTGCTACTAGTGTTATTTAGAAAACTGAATACAGTACATTAAAAATTACTGCCACCAACAGCTAATCAAATTGCAGCTTTCTATACTGTCTATTGTTCTCCAGTGGAGTGTTATTTTCTCATATTTCAGGATGATTGAGGCTTTAGGAATATTTGGATTGTGAAAGCAAGAATGATACTGTAGGTCTTGATGGTCATATCTGATAGTTGTAACCTACAAAATAGTACAATTATACAAGTGGTTAATCATCATTTACAAAATACTACAAAATGTAATTAATATTTTTAAGAATGCTAATTAACAAAATGTTCAAATAATTTTCTGTTTCCACGAGTGAAACCATACCTTGCTGTGCTGTGATGGCATGGAAGCATTAATAGACTTTTGGTCTATTATTATTGTACTAATAAATTCCAGCATGCTTTGGTGAATTATGCAGTGCTGGACTTTAACCTGTGGTCCTACTTACGTCAGTTGAGTGGCAAAAGCCTTTCACTTGCCCAAAACTTACAGGTGTTTCTTCTGTCACTAACACGCAATTATTGATTCAAAAGTGTCCTTAAACTCAAATACACCATTATCACTGACACTAATTTCCAGAGTAATCAGACCCAACATTGCAACCTGGAAGACTTGGTAATTGTGTGTATCTCACACACACACACATAAAAAACTCCACTATTTCATTAGAGTCTGCTGATTAGTTGACAGTTGGTGACAGAATCTAAGCATCTTTCAAACCAATCCGAAATAAACAAAACACTTTAATCATTCAAATTCTGGACACCCTGCGTTGTGGTCTTGTCTGACAGGGACGTTTACCCGACAGTGCTAACGACAGTTGCTTTCATCTTCTTGACAGCTTTCACTTCATCAAGAACAGCTTTTGTAGTGTCCAGTCCTTGACTTCAAAATCAGTAAAGTGCCAAAATAAAGGACACATGAAGTGATGTCACTAGAGCTGTTTGTTGTTGTGATACAGAACATCATCTCTAGTTCTGTAGTTATAAGATGCATTGCGGGACCCAACCTTTGTTTTCCGTGCTCCAAGTCTGAAGCATAATTGCTGTCAGAAGCTGGATTCCACTTCCTCTTGAAGCAGCATTTTGGGTTATATTCCATGTCGACAGCAACGCACTCATTACTGTGTAACACACTGTCTCTGTTTCGGCGTTCAGGTCCCAGGTGTTAGTGGGTTCTTCTTTAAAAGATCAGTTTTATTCACTTAGAATGAAACATACATTTTAAAAAAACCCAAGCTAGGAAAACAGCATGGACAGAGCGCAATTCTACTTCAAGCTGCTTGAAACTTTGGTTGGGTAACATCCAATGAACCAAGGCATATGTGCAACGTTTATTATTTGTTTAGCCTGCTCTGTTTGCAGATTAAAATGTGAATTATATATATATGAACAGTATATCTATCTAACTTAAAAACAAGTATATGTTCAATAATCTTGTGCCGTTATATACAGTAAGTGGTGAGGCACACACCTAAATCCATGAGATAGGTCATAAAAGTGATTGATCTTATGTGATATGCTTTCTGGTATTCCAAAAGGTGCAGTTTTTGGAATTTCTTTTTTGTCTCTTCTGTTTCCTGTTGTGCCATGTATTTATTTAAAAAAAACTGTATTTAAACACAACTGATCTAAAAAATTAATATGCTTACAATTATAGTTCCCTTTTAATCTAGGTGCTACCACACCTGCTGCAATAATAAACAGTAAAGGACTTGACTCCTGTCTTGAAATGAGCTAAATCCGGATCACCAGTAAATGTACAGTACCTGAATGCCACTGTTCTACAGATCAGTGTCCAAAGTAAAAGTACAGAAGCTCATGAGTGAGTATAAAGCTCACATAATGTGCTTTAAAAACTGCATGAGGTGCCCCAAGGAAGTTAAAAATTATTTTGTCTAAATTTAAAAACTTTCAACGTGAAGGGAATGTCTCTGTATGCAGTATGCAATTAAGCCATACCTCTAGACCAAACCTCACTTTGTTTAATAAATCATTAGCTGAATTATAATACACCTCTGTTCTCAAGTATTATGTTATGTAGCTCTTCCTGTTATGAGGGTCAACAGCTGTGAGTCTGCGTACCGTGACTACTGGCTGTGGATGTTGCTATGGTAATACAGAAAGGAATGTTTTTGAAACTGTCGCAGAATGTGTTATTAATCATTTTAAACCAGCCTAAACATGCTTTCCTGCAATTCTGACTAGCTCAGTCAGCGGGAATTTGAAATCCTTTCCGTGGAACATTTCTTGTACAGTTTTTCATTGCATTAAATAGTCATATTTCTATTCAGAATCGAAGAGGCAAAGTAAATTCAGGAAGCAGTAAGCAGCAAATTCCTTTTAACTAAATAGACAAAGACTTTGTGGACACCTACACATTTTTTTAATATTTAGTGCTAGTCCACACATAAATATTACTTCTTATCTGTTGAAATGAACTTGATCCACATTTCCTCACTCTGAGATGCTAAGATTAGGGAATCAAGAACAACTTGAGAGTCGTGGACATTTTGGAACTATCTTTGTTCTAAAAATAATACTTCTAAAAACTTAAATCTACTGGTCTAAACTGAAAACAAATCTCACTACACCAAAATATGATTCTCCTACTGTTAAAGAAGGAACTTCTGTTGACATTACAGGTTTATACTGTATACAGTATCTGTGCTGTGTAATGGACTTAGTTGCATATACTGTACACCACTGTTGACATCAATGGTTTATATTTTTTATGTGTACTGATCTACAGTGCATATACAAAGCTATGGAGATGCGCCTTTCGCACATACTGTATTTCTGTTTTGTTGCTGAAAATTAGCCAAAGCTATAAAAGTATGCATTAGCCTCCAGACTACTATTACTGCCAAAGCACCTCATGGTTCAGCCTTGACAGTCTAATAACGTGGAGTGGTCATTGGGGTGCTGCATTAATTTGTGGAAATGCACAGCTAAACAGCGAACACTATTTAAATCAAATTGGCATTCCTAGAGAATGGGACTGGTGGCTCTATGAAGGGAAGAACTGTAGCCTGCCTCAGATCATTTAGAACGAATATTGTCAGTCAAAAGACAGAGCTTAGCAGTGCTTTATGGGTGAGTAAAAATAAACAGTTTAATTGAGGAGGTCCTTAATTTAATGCCCTGCAGAAAATGTATAATTTAACAATACGCCATAACAGGACTGGAATGCCAAGATGTGGCACATAATGGTGCCTTTTAAATGTGAACTTCCCAGCTGCTTGCAACATGCGACAAAGCAAAGAACTGTCAAACAGCAGAGCTCTGTAGAGAACGTGGCCACACAGCTCTGCAGGTGAGAATTTAAGCCTCGCAGAAACATCAGTGTGCAGGGACCAATGCGGCAAATAGGATTTTTATATATTTAAGGAAAAACATTGTTGCCCAACCAGAAGCAAGTCTCGTACTAAGCTGCAGAATGAAAAACAAAGAGTCTTTCTCAATGAACACAAAAGGGAAACCAGATACCACGAGCTCTTTTCATGCATATGCTCAGCTGTAAGCCGCAAACAGTGCTGTATTCAGAGAGGACCGGCTCTCCTCCCATCTAGATTTCAACCACTTCAGCACATGTCATTAGTGGTGTATCTTTATTCCAGGACATTTACTGTAAGGGAGTGCCACATACACAAACAAGTTTCCAGGCATCTGCAACTTTAGCAGGACTTTTAATTGTTTCTGAATGACTACATGATAATGAAGCAGAACGACTTGCAACCTGTGCATGTAAGCACAAGGTGATATCATAATGCAGAGACAACTGCAGGTAACCAGACAACCGTAGTCACAACAACAACAAAAACTGCAGTCACTTCTCTTTGAATAGAAACTCAATTGCCTTGTGCTTTGTGAAGAGCATGCATCGCATTTATGTTTTCAAAGAAGCAAATGTTTACAAATCCCAATGCAAATGGAGACTGGCTGTGTAGTATTTTGGGTTTGGGTTTATTGTTTTGTGTAAAACAAAGCCAAATAGAATGAACAAAGACACCAGAGACTATTAAATATTTACTTCCATCATATTGGGCACTTGTACTGTACAGTATGTTCATCTTGCAGTTTCTATCATTTTTGCAGCTTTCCTATTCTTATACCATGTACAGTATACCATACATTCCTTTGCTTTATTATCAATCAGCTTTGGTTTTACATTGGCAGACTTTTGTTGAAAGTAAACCTTGTACTGTTAATGAGACAAAATGTTGAGTATTATTTTAATGTATCAGAAATAAACAATCATGCTTACATTTGAATATTTTATTTTCATCCAAGAATTGAGAGTATTTCATTAAAGCAGACAATATTTTCTGACAGACTGCATAAAACCCTTAGCCACAATGAGATAGCAGTTACTTTAAATCAAGGTATCATGTGGTGCAAGATTGATTTACAGGAAATCTGAACATAAGCTATTTAAGTCAACTCTACAGTAGTATAATTACTATTAAAAATTGCCATAACACATCACAAACCTCACTTTCTGAGTATTTACAGTTAGTGTTGGCAGCTTATAGCAAGCACCTGATTTTATGTGTACAGTGTACACAAATGATGTAGTAGTTTCTGGCCCAGAAAGAAAGGCATTTAAAAAAAGACAAAAATCCAAAATGTTTTAAAAGAACACAGGTTTTTAGACAAAACAAGAACATTTGGTAAACTTACCTAAAGAACCGCCCTGGTTTCACAGATTAAATGTTCCCATTCGTGTCATGATACAGTAGCCACGCAAACCTAGCTTAGCACAGTCATTTTTCTGCAGATCCGTCTGATTTCTCTAACATACTGGAGTTTACTTAAAGTCTAAAATGACCTTAGGATTTTTCTTTTGAGAAAAGACCACATCCTTCTGTCAGTCAAGCAGTGCATAGTTTCAGCTGGGCTGCCGTCCAAACAGACATGAAACTATTCTATTTTTGTCAACCATCTGAGTAGTAAGACGGTATTTTTAAAGATTCTGTTTTCAAGCATGTAATTGCACAGTGACCAGTTATGGTCAAGTGTAATTGTAGACTTCATCGGATCTAAGTAAGTTGCCAAAAGTGCAAGGTAAATAACTTTAAAGTGTAAAAAAAGAACAAACCACATAAATAATTTTGAAACTAAAATCCAGATGTGGAACAGAAGGGGGAGAAAATGCAGAAATGCCACCACAGCAGATCTTAAGCGTGAATTATATTGCTGTGAAAAAGTACTGAACCTCTTCTACAGAACAAAACTTTAAAGAAGTTTGGTCACTAAACTGTTTTATTATTATTTTCACCCATGAGTATCAGGGTGTATCATTTCAGGGCAGTCCTGAAAACGGCTATCTTTTAAAAAACTGAAGGAGCTGAAACTTCTGTTTGTGGTTTGAATTACTCAGAAATACATGAAGTGTTTAAGGGGGTGGCATTGAGGTTGCTCCACATACTCATATGATTAATTAGTTGGTGAGACATTATTAATACATGCTGAAAAAAAAGAAGAAAGAAAACACAACGTTTCAGCTGTGGAGCCTTCTTCACGTGTGAGGACTTCTTCAGGTGTGAGCCTTCTTCTGTCACACCCAAAGAAGGCTCCACGGCCAAAACATTGTGTTTTCTTCTTTTTTCAGCAAGGTATAAACCTTCCTTGTTCCTTTGCAGCCTACGCATGCTGATGCAGCTCCCCACCTGAACGATTATTAATACATGCTGTTTACTGTATATATAGTTTTTTATTCAGGGGAACCCTAAGTTACAATTATAAGACAAGATACGCAAAGGAGAAATACAGTACAGTGCCATCCTGAAGAAGGAAGAACATCTGCACCATACTCCCTTATCATACAAGCTTCTTGTAATAACATGGAAGGACAAAAAAGGGTTTACGTCTGCAAGCAATATGAATAATGATACTGATGAGAATGGACTCAGTGGAAATAACAAAATAGGGGTTTTAAAATTGTTCCTATCTGGTAAGAGGAGTTTTCAGTTTTCTGTTACATTTCACTATTAACTTAACTATGTAAGCTGAAGGAATGAGCCACAGCCCATTAATTGACTCCCCCTGGCAAATGGATAATTGTCTTAAATGATCAGTACTTCAGTCAAAGGATGTCATAAGTCACTTGTTATATAATACAAATTACATAGTACTAGTACCACTGCGCTGCTCAGTACTTTGTTTGCCTGAGCAGTGGCCAGCTCTACTGCCTCTTCTTCTATCACATGAAATGAAAAAAGGACATGGACTGCAGGCTAAGGAGATGGTGGTGTCTTCAAAAGCACAGCAAAAGTGCGGTGTAGACTCGTGTCTATGATTCTTCTAGTTAAATGTGCTGGGAATATCCCCACAAATTCTTATGTATTTTATGTTGGGGGTTTACAGTATGTTAGTTGCTTTCCAAATGGTCTTGTCACCTTTGCTTTGTTTCTCATAGATATTTTTTATAACTACTACTGTGCGTAAGTGGTACAGTATGTGTTTTCTCCAAACAAATCTGGACTTTAAATTAACACATCGATTTCCATTTCCTCAGTCCATGTCCTAAAATACCCTTGTGTCCAATGGTTCTTGTTCCAAATGGACACGTAATAACAGATTCGAATTGATGCCTGTATTGGATATATTTGCTTGTTTCGCTTTTTATTTCTACACTCAATTTTATAAGATCTCTCCTCAACATGCTAATTAAGCATTTGCTTCGTTACCTTTATCTAAAAAAAAATATTAACAGGCAATCAATTTACGATGAACAGACACAGGTGGGAATGACAATGTGTCAGACACTCAATTTCCACACCACAATTTCCTTTTGCTTAATTCCACTTAGCACAACTTAATTAGGGCAACTCTGAAACTGAGCGAGTTAATAAGCCCAGAGTGTAAATGCTAACAATTCCTATGCTAAATGCATATAAATGTTATAGAAATGCTAAATACAGTCTTTTGGGAGATTTAATGGAGAATTTGTTTTAAGAACTGAAATACATTCTAAAATAGGGCTGAAATAGAAAATGAAATATATTAGTCTGTGATTAAGACCTCATCTGGAGCAAAAACCAGAAGACACAGGTGTTCATCAGTACCAAAAAACACTGTTCTAGAATACTTGATTCTAACCCGTGTTCCAAGGTTTCTGCTGGTTTTCATTCTAAGCTAAAAAAAATAATAGATTACCTATATTGACCTGCATGCTTTAGATTTCTAGTTTCACAAATATCCTTATTCAAGGAAACTGTTTCCTACAGCTTCAACACACAGAACTTTAAGCAGCTAGACATAAGCCTGTTTTCCTTAATTATACTGCTTTGAATACTGTAGGTGATCAATATGTGATGAACAGAAACATGGGAATAACACTGTATCACTGTATGTTCCTCTGTTCTACCTCTATTTTTCCAGAGGTTCAGGTGGTTACATCTCATTTAACTCCTGAATGGGGGCAGTTCTGGAAACTCAGAAATTGGTACAGGATTGATATCATGTTTAAATCCCATTCAACGTTTTTAGAGATTTTGTTTTTACTAAAGCAAATTAAGGAGAAAACAGTGGTCCCACCATACCCATAGTTTTGGAGGATTGTATCTAACGTACATTCGCAAAACCCACTGTGTTTTAGGACCCGGGGAAAGAACATTATAACACAGCGCCCCTCCCACCATTTTGGCTCTACGTCCAAAAAATGTTGTGGAGCCAAGATGGCTAACATTACTGCCTGTGTTGAGAATTAAGAAACGAGGACAAGAGGAGTTGAGCTAGAATCAGTTGAAACCAAAAGTGTATTTTGAAGTTCTTACCGGAGAACTTCAGTCCGGAGCTTGGTAAGTTATGTCGAACACCTCTGTGTGAAAAACAGGACATGTGAAGAAGCTGATAACTTTTGTCTTTGATTTTGAATGAATTCTAATCAAGACATGTCTCCTCTTGCAAAGGAGATTTTTGACTTTTTGTTGAAAGTGGAGGTTGGAATCAAGAGAGTCATTCCCCTACCACGGCATGTTTGCACATAAAAAATACTAATTTTTACGTTAGTAATACATTTTACAAAAGCTTGGCGGACATCTCACAAACCTTACAAATGACAAATGTTGTAGGTTCTGCACGCTTGCATGCATGCAGTAATGTACTGCCTTTTCCGTACATGTTTTAAAGCAGAATTAATCAGGAGCTTACAGTCTGCGTAATGATGTTATAACAATGAAGTTTTGTTTCCACATTGCTGAAAATACACAGAACAAGAATACATCCGAGTTAAATTTTCTTGATGCTGCCATCTACTGGAGAGAGTGTTTCTTGTTCGAATAGTGTAAACGCAGTTAATTCTGAGATTGCAAAGCATGAGTGTACACCTTTGCTATAGTAGTTTATATCCAGACCTAGACAAAAACAAACTTTGGGATGGCTACTAACACTGTGACAGGCTCACGCGAACTAATTAGATAAAATATGTATTTCAAATGTTACATTCTTGGAAATGAGTTATACTTTAATATAGAGTTTAGCTTTAGTTTTGAAAACATTATTAACCTTTATTGGAAAGCAGTACTTTTATAATTGTAAGTGAGACAGTCAAATAAAGAAAACTTTTTTATTTAAAACGTTGTCCTTTTCATTTTCAAGAGAGTTTTGGGTAACATAATCCTGTAAGTCCACTAACATTAATACTTAAAAAAAATCTGCTGTATTCATAATATTAATACTAACAATCCCTATGCTGAATACAAAACAAAAGTAATATCTGTCTTTTGGGAGATTTAATGAAGAAATAACCCCTACTAACACAACAAACTCAGTTATAAAGCCATTGTCATATTTAGGGAACATTAACATATTAGATTCTTATCTAAGGTTAATGGACATGTATAAACCCCATGAGTTTATAAGGAAGTTATAATACAGCATTGTTGAAAATTAAACCTACAGATTCCAATTGACAGTGTAATTGCTCATCAGGGATCTTAATACTAGGGTGGCATGGTGGCACAGTGGTTATTATTACTACCTGTCAGCACTGGGGCCCTTGGCTCAGTTCTAGACCTGGATTCCTATCTGCATGGAGTTTGTTCTGTATATTCTTCCCATGTTCATACTGGGTTCCTCCCACAGCTCAAAGGCTTGCTGGTAGTTAAATTGTCTTCTGAGATAATTAGCCCAAGTGTTAGTGTGTGTGTTTGTGTCTGTGCCGTGCCCTGCCTTAGAGGAGTGTCCCACCCAGGGCCTTGCGCCTATTGCTTGCCAAGATAGACTGTAGAATATAGAATGGTAAGAAAATAGGTTGATATTAATACAAGTAGGAATCCTGTTCAGGTAACAATTTTCAATGCACGCCTATGGGATTTGTATGAGCCTTTTAATATATAATATGATATATTTAATATCTCATGGTGAGATGTCTGGATTGTATTTGTGATTCTACAGTTTTAGTTGAAAATAATCTCTGAATTTAACTTAATTTTCTGCTATGTACAGATCTACCCTCCACAGTGATTACAGCTCCTTGAATTCCACTAGACAGGGAAACACAGTTAACATCCGTCATAGAAAAGACACTACAGTATATTACACTATTACCTCCCCCTCACAATATGGTAGAACTAATTCAGAGCATGATCATTTCAAACAGCTCCAAAAATTATTTTATGGGTAATTATATAGTAGTACAGTGAAACTTGTTTTTAAGGACGTGGCAATAAACATTTAGAAAATCATCCATTTATAGGCAGCTGAAAAGGTAGTATTATGGTTTTAATCTAGAGTCCTCATCTTGTCATTGAGACACACTGATATGTAAAAAGCAACACTTCACTGAAGTGCTGCCTAATAGCAGAAGCCTTAATAGCAGAAGTTCAAGTGTACTGTTAAAATGTATGCATTACTTACACACAGATTGAATTTTATGTGCTAACCTTGAATTCATATGAAATACCATCACAACTAATAAATTCTGTATATGTCAATTACACTGTAACAGAACCGAGCTAAACATTTTATGCTATAAAACAGAGGAAAATAAATGGATAACTGATGAAATTTTTTAAACAGACTAAGCAGAAAAATAATGTCATGCTGTGTACAGGCACACTCTCTATATAATAAAAACAATTATTATTCCATTATAGAAAATTTAAAAGAAAATAACATTATTACCATATGTAATAAAAAATGTCTGCAATTCAAATGACACCCATTATCGACTGAAAAACGAGTTTATTAGCCTCTTGTCCGCTTCTCATGCAAATTTGAAATATCATACTTCACATATTATGAGTCTCATTTGTTGGAAGCGCCTGTTTAATTTTTTCATAGCCTGATATTGTCTACAAGTATATATATGTAAGTATCACCAGTCCTTACTGTTGGAGGCTTTGTCTGTTGCATCACTGTCAGGCAGGAGAGTGGTTGGCTGAAGGGGACAAGTGGGTTTTCTAACTACAGTGCTCTGTCAGGGTACTGTTTTAGTGGTTAAGTGATACCATGCCAAAGAAAGAAAGTTCTTAGTAAAGACTGCATCTAATGCAATCAATAAACTTTCTATACTTCCTATATTGCCATCATTAGTCAGTAGATTGCAAAATTCCTACTTCACCGTTTTCTCACTTTATTAAAGAACACTTCTCCTTTTCTTTTAACTTTAACTGTAAGATTATTCTGGTGACTGAGTAAAAGTCGATTTTTGCAATTAAATTGGCACGTTTTAGTTGGAGGGGAACCAGGATTTTGGATAACATCTGTCTATCATTCACCTCTAACAAGGGAACCAGGACCAGAGAATGTAGAATGACCCCAAGGCAAATCAGACCCACCTATATAACCTACAGTAACTTTCTTTGTCAAGGTGAGCTTTACGTTTCTGTCTTTGATTTTGTTGTCATTATCTTGGTTTTGTTGTATCCTTGTGATTTCACTGATGTCCAGTTATCACCATTGCAAACCTGTATACAGTAATCATCACATTAGCCTTAAACATCTTGGTAATGGACACTGGATTTGAAATTGGGATGTCTTGGTGTTTTAACAGCTATCACTAGAAATCAGTCTTTTGCCTCTAACCTGGGGCAGTTCTCTGACGTTTCCTCATGTTGAAATAGTTCTGTTTTAATATAATACATAGTCACAATCGAGCTGACTTGTGATGCCCACAACGTCAATAGGCACTTCCTGGGGAGTTGTGAAATTTTTGAAACTACTAGATAATAAAATCCTTTACAATATCGCATTTGTTGTGCTTCTATTTAGCTCATTTTCAAGGTGTGAATAAATTTGAACATTGTGTATTTAGATATGGATTACACTAATACTATTATTACTACTATTATTCACTACTCCTTTTCATGCATGTTAATTGAGGCACGTAGATAAATACTGATGTACACCAGCATTTTCTTTTCTAAAGCGATTCATTACAGTTAATCAAGGGTGTGAATAAATTTGGAGGATTCTGTGTACTATTTATGAATGACAATATACAGATTCATTGTTTAAGATTGAATAATCAAAGGTTATACTAGAACGCCTACATTCAGGCTTACCTGAAGTGTAAACATCAATTTTCCCTGGAGAAATAATGCTGTGTAGGATAATTGCACAAATTACCCGAGCACACACATCTACCCTTTTACAATACAATTTCAGGTGGCTTGTTTTCATGGACTTATTTTAATCTTTTTTTTATAAAGTTTCTGAATCCAAGCCCACACAAGTGGTTATACAGGCACTCTTTATTTTCACACTGGTATTAACAAGCCCAGGGAGCATGTCCCTCTTCAAGCAATACTGTGGGCAGCAGCATGGAGTAGTGGCTACAGGCCGTGGACTCTGGACTTGTCATAGGAAAGAGAATTTGTTACTACTCCGATCTGGTTTGGAGGCAATTTCAGGTGAATGTTAGGCTGAAGTTGTCGGAATGCCAGTGAGAGTGGTCCCTCTATCAGCGTTCTTGCCAATGGACAGAGCACAGAGCATGAGCCTGCAGCTGTAGAAGCACTAGAGGGAAGCCATGGAGGCCATCTCTACCATAGCAAGAGGGAGAACAGACAGAACTTTTAGGACAGTCAAATCAGAACACCGACCATAACTTCAGGGTAGTCAGTATACCTGAAGTATAGGCAGAGAGGGAGCAATGGATGTCTATAGAGATAGAGATCCAGCCTATAGGTATTCCCTGGAGAGAAGGTTGAGCCTCTGCTACCAATGGTTTCCAGTCATTCAGCATTAGAGAGAGAAGTGCTGCATAGCTGAGCCAAAATTACAGTATATCCATCAAAGGAGAGTATAAACCATTCTTCATAAAACAGCTGATGTTGGGACGTGAGAAGGTCCTACTAGGAGTGTAGAGTTGCTCAATCACTGCATGTTGGCTCTACAGAATTAATGTGGTGTGGAAACAATGGTGTCCTATGTTATTAGTGGAGCAGCGTGTTGTCCTAAGCCAGGGTTTGATCAAAGACTATGATACTTCGCAGTATCTCCTAGAGTCAAAAAGTGATAACTGAGCATCAGGAGTTGTTATTGTAACAATGGGTTCATGCAACTATACATTAATATATACATACAGATTCGTGTTATATAAATAATTACGTATTCTTGTGTTAGTGTAACGATTTTTTGCATGTCCAGTTTTATTATTGTGTTCTAATGTTCCCTGTTCCAGAACTGTTGTTCTATTACACTGCACCGGAGACATTGTGTCAAGATACATCTAGGGTTTTGCTCTTTGTGTCCTGGTGGGTGTTGCCATGGTTTTTCTTTCCTGCCTCATTGCCCCATGTCTTGGGGTGATTTCAGTGACCTGGGGGGTGGTGATAAAAAGATGTTCCATCCTCCTGGTCAGGCGGTCCAATGTTAGCTGTTCTTGTTTGTGGATGCAACTATCATTATTGATGTACGAGCATTCCTTTCCTGGTTAAATAAAGCAGCACACACTGCAATGACTAAACGCAAACTAGGTTGACAGTGGCTACTTCCTCAGAACACACCTGAATGATTAGCTTGTTAGCATACTTATGTGGATATACCTGACATTAGGGGAGAGACTGTGTTGCACACCTCGACCCAGTGCTACATTCATACGTTGTCCAAACTTGTTTTTTTCCCTTGGCTATCAACTATCAAAGATTTTTGTTTACAGTAATTTCAATTTCCCAGAGCAATCCCCTGAACTGCACTATTTCTAATGAAGAAGCCGTTTAATGTAACATTCACACTTTACATGAAAGTTCAGATTTGATCAGTTCTGGGGTCTAAATATAGTTCACATCTTTAAATCAATCATAGGTACATGATGTAATCAGGCCTGCAAGAAAAAAAGTTTATAATATATTCAATTAAAAACTGATTATTTATAAATTAGTATCTGACCAATTTGCCCTCATTACATTATGCAGTGATACCTCTTCCACCTGGTTTTAATATACTGGATTATTTTCAAGACGTACTGTACATGTAACACTGCCTTTTACAAAATGCTACATTGATGATTGTAGCGTTTTACCTTCATTATGATTATCATGTTGTAGGTTTTAAATTCTGGTTTCAATCCCTCAGTTAACATTAATTATCATTAGGATCTTATTACAACACATGTGAAAATATTATTCGAAAGTATCATTCCGACAGGACAAAAGATATAATAACCAAGAAAACCTATAATACATAACTTAAAAGATTATACCCCTCTCTAGAATAATCCTCAGTGATTTCAGTCTTCTGATGTGTGATAACACCCTGTAAGGCAAGTGGTACTTAAAGTCTTTGTATCTATTTTTTTAACTATCCTGCAAATGACATAAAAGAGGCATTCATGTTTTCTGGAAAGGTCGGTTGAAGCAGGGCAAAAAAATCTGAAGAGGCCAAGGACCTGTACATGGGAAATATCTTTGAATGTCATCTTTCATGATGGTCTTCTGGATCCACATTGAAGGTTTCTAACCAGAACTTTGGTGGTTTTTACAGAAATCTGCATGAATGTGTTTGCGCATTTGTAAGCGGTGAACAGAATAAGGTAACAACCTAAGTTTAACACTTCTTCCTCAGACTGTATTTAAAGGAAATGTGTAATGTGGTATCAGATATTATGAGAGGAATGTTTTGTCGTTGTTGTCTTCACACTTTTTATTTTCTGCAATTGTATGAGTGAAAGATCAATTGGGTTTTACGGATATTTTCAATAAACTAATAAGTTCAAGTTAAAACTGTTTAAGAAAGCTGCAACAGTCAGTTCTTCTTCAGGTGGAGCTCCAGGTTCCTGCGTTTTATAGGTAATAGAATACATTGTGCTTTCTTAGTCTTCTTCATCTGTGTACTGTATTGTAGTCATTTGGAATTACAGGATAATATCTTATATTCATATAGCACCTTTCCCAATTTACATGTACAAGATGCAGTATCCGTAAAGAATATCATAACATTTTCTTTTTCTTTATTATTTTCACTTTTCTTGAGAATCACATTTACATTATGTTTCTCTCAAATTCAGAAGCCAGCCACAGAGAGCATTATTAATCATAAGCTAATAGATCAGCAGTAGAAATGAAGTTCTGTACCAACTTTTCTAAGGGTTTTGCTGAAGCCGTTTCAAAATATGAGCTAATTATTATGATTCATATTTTGTTGTATGTAAATAGTCTTTTCTACAGATATTATAGATCTGTAGAATACATGTTTCATATCCTTAAAGTATTTAATCCAATGAATTGGATCAAGCAAAATATGGATGTAGAAAGGTGCATCATGGACATTTAAAACCTTTATCCAGTTTTACAATTAAAAAGAGTCTAAGATCAGACTGCCAGCCCTAAAAAGGAAATTATTTTAGATAGCTTTCATATCTAATTATAGCTCCAACTCTACTGGAGGCACTTTAGATTTTCCAGTGCGTGCACTGGCAAAAGCCCAGTGTACAAATATCTATTATTCTGGACTGGTTGTATAATAATCATCCTAAGTGAAGAAGTTGGGTTAAGAGATCTGTTTCCATCAGGCACTATCAATTTAGCTTAAAGAATTCTGGTTAGAAGACTAATAGGGATGCGATCTTGTTTGGATGTGAGTAACCTCAATCACTTTAAGTCTTTGCAATAAAACAAGTATCCCGACCCAAATGTATCTAAAATACATTTTAATCTTGCTGAAATTCACAATTGTTACAATATTGAGTTGATTTTTTTAACATAATGTACAATCATGTTATGTAAAGTGTTTTACATCAAGGCACAAGACACAGCCATTTACAGGGAAGCCAAGAGAAGGCGGAGTTTAATGTAGTCCCCGAGGTTCTTTAGAGCACTGCTGAGACAGGTTTGAGTAGCGTGGATCACATTGTACAAATGCAGTCTAGGCCAAAAACTAAATAAATAACCAGTGCTATTTTGTTTTTATTTGAAATAGAGTTGCATATAAAAATGAATATAGTTTTGAATTCAGGATTTACGTGTAATATACAGAACTGAAGTGCTCTTTTTTATCTCTTTGCCAAAAGCAAATATAAATATTCAGAACAACAGGAGGATGAGAAGTCAATCCTATGGTCTCTAGGCCATTCCTCGATTAAGTATGAGAGTTGAAGACAGGGTTTTCGTTTTTCCAAAAGATATGTAATGCTGCTTTGTTGAGAGTGTGAATCTGTAAAAGAAAAACACAAAATGTAATGAAATTAACAAGCAGCAGGTTGCACATGAACAATCTGTACATCTCAAACATTTGATTCAGGGTTATTAGACATTGAAATATTTTTATCTACAAAACTTGTATTCCTGTTGTATTTCTCTTTCTGCATGATCTCGCATTTGCATTAATGAGGTTGTGATTTTAGTATCTTTTTTTTCTGTTTCAGCACAGCAACTAAAGGTATTTCTGTGAGGTCCTCAATGAAAAGGTTTCAAGAAAAAAAGGCTTATGAATACAAGGTGATACAGTATGTGCGCTGCAAATGGTTCTTGTGGCTGAGCAATTGAGACGGATAATGGATTCACCAAGTAAAGTGAATTACGAGCAGAGGCTATGGTGCACACAGATCAAGAATAAGCATGGGGAGAGCAAGAGTGAGTGACAGAATGAAACAGGCATCATGCAGAGGAGTAGGAGAGAGGATAACGGAGAAAACCGAGCAAGGGCGAAACACTAACAGTGATAAAGAGAGTGCAAGCAAGGGAGACTAGCACTCCATAGTGCCATCCATTTACCATATCCCTGAAGAGCATTCGGATTTCACATTTGAATGTTTCTCCTTCGCCTCCCAAATGCTTTGGATCCCACGTTGGTTGGCACAAAGTTGCTGTTGCCCATGCCTCCTGATCTGCTCAGGAAATCTGCCAAGCGGTGAGTGACACATGTGGCTGTATTGCAGGCTCGTTTCTGTGCTGTAACGCTGCTTTAAGAAAGGGAAAACAAGGATCAGCTGTTTGCTTTCTGAGAGGAAATCATAGGCTAGCACAGTTTCAAGATGATGAAATCCAATACCAAGCCAACTTTTAAAAACATTCCTTGTATAAAGTATGTTGAATCAAATATAAGAGTCAGCACATGTACTACAACTAACATATAAGTTTATATTGATTTGTTTAAATTTGTTCATTTTTTTAATTTAAAGGATTCATTTCAAAACAAATTATTTATATAATACATAAATCTTACCTGAAAGCCATCTTGAGGATCTAGAGGACCCTATTCTGTAATTTGTTAGCTTACTGTGAGGTGCACTGTTTGCTACTTCAGTTAAATACCACTATAAGATCATAGTTTGACTTTGAATAACTCCCTGTTTTTAATTGGCCAACTGTAAACTCATTTTGCATACATATTCATATTATTTACACTTAAATAAAGGAGAAAGATTTTTTCCTGGTAGAAAAATAAGTTTATTAAACAAGAAACATAGTCACGCATGAAAGAAGCATTTATTATTCTTAAGATTCTCGTTGTTATGACTATTGTTATTACCAGAGAAGTCAAGCAATATTACGTTATCAGAAAAAATACGACCTGAAGGAAACAGTTGTTTTAAACTAATCTTCGGTGTGTTTGTTTTTTTTTTTAAATACTGTTTGGTGTTTAATTGAATTATGTATCTTTCTAGTAAGATTCTCTGCCAAATCAACGGGGTCAAAAAGAAACTAACAAGGTATGCAATCAGGGCTTTAAATCAATCAAGCAGGGTCGATCCACATGCATCAAGATTTAAAAAAAAAGGAAGGGAGCGGGAAGAAGGAAAGTAAGATTCTTAGATGCTGTCAAATGTTTCTCCATAGTTTGCATAGCGTTCATTTTCCAGCCCGCTCGCAACGCTTCTTTTCTTGCCAGGCGTGCTTGCTCCGACGTCAGTGCGAGGGAAAGTTTGCAATTTGTGCAATTCCTGCGACAGTTTGCCCAGGACACAAGTACTCAGATTGGAGCAGCGCTTGGAAATAGGTCTATCCAGGCTGTAGAAAAAGACAACATGCAGAGACAAGCTCATAATAAAAAAAGAAGTGCATGCACATGCATGCTCAGTTTCTCCATTAAAGCTAGACACCTTCTCCCATCACAGGCAAATACAGTATCATGCACCGTCTCCTTGTTACCATCACTCTGGTTTCTATTCTACAAAATGCATGTCTAAAGGGTAGGGAAAATTACAATAATCATGCCTTTGTCCCTTTAATTTTGTTTTGGCTTCAAGAACATTGACATGTTTTTTTTTCATGCACACCATTCTTCTTGGAATAAATGAGATCATGCATCCATTCCCTTAGGCATTCTATACTTGAGGCTCTCAGCAGGCAAACAAGCTCTCTAAAATTGTTTGTAAAATAAAATTATTCCATGCAGACAAAAAATGAATAGGACAGAGAATTAAATGGCATTATTTTTATTCCTTCCTTGTGCATTATCGAACATCTAAATTATGAACACATACCTCTACATCCTGAACATTTTAATCACAAATCTGAAGCACAAACTGCTTTAGGAAGCTGTGCAGTTTTTTTTCTTAACAGCATGAAAAGAATAAAAGTTAAACAAATAGCATTTGACCGTTGAAAATGTCTTAGTCAAGTTAATGTTCTGGCTATTTTGCACAAAAACAAAAAGGCAAATATATTGGTTTGAAACCGCAAATATGATCTTAACAGAATTTATGCTCATTATGTACTTTAGTATGAATAAGTTAACAAAGTTAGCAAAGAGCTATAAAAAAATTCATACCTATTTCCGTCATTCACTTGTTGCTCCAGTTCTTCTGCTGTCATTTGCACAAATTCTTTTACTAAAGCATTGAGTAACCTCCGAGCTTCATAGTCGCTGAGTGTGACACGGTCTGTCATTGACTCTAAACCAGGTCTGCTGGCAAATAGTTAATGATGCTGATTAGAATGGCTCAACATTACCACCGTAAGATTAGAAACAGCAATTTTAGTTAGAACATTGTTAATGCTAAAAGGAACTGGCTCCTGTTAAAAGGGATCTCAGCCAACAACACAACAATCTGCTAAAAGTATTCCATTTTAAAAAGTTGAGAGGTAGCCAAGTAAGAATTTATGGGAAAATCAATATTGTAGCAAGCACTATGAGTGTGCAGTGACTTATTGTGTTTTATGTTATTAACCTTACTGAATAAATTACTTACATTTTTTTTTAATTTTGTAAATGTGTTCTGTGAAAATGCACTTGCCATAATTAGGCTTTCTTTTTCACTTAAATCAATTTTAATTTTTTTTACGTTATTAAGTCTTCTACAGTAATTTACATTATGTACTGTATATTAAATCATGACTAGGGAGATCAATTTTTCTCAAGTTTTCTCTGGTCGATAGTTGCTGTCTATGTCCATGATCTTGAATAGGGTACAAGCCTAAGTAGGTGTATCCATAAGACAATCTGAAAATTCTTTTTTTATCTAGAAATTATCAAACACATACTGCCAAACTGTGAATCCCATCATTTATGTTCAGGTTCAACATTTAAAAGCAGACAAGCAATTCCCTTAACATTTTCCAGATCTAGGCTACTTACTTTCTAAGTTCAATAATGCTTATGCTGTTCTTGAATGTGTATATTTCAGTACATCGATTCTCACCTGGCTGGAGCTGCTTGTGAGCTGTACATCTGACATATAACCAAGGCATAGGTGACAAGGAAAGCAGAGATCTTCAACATAACCATTGTTCCCTATAGTGGAGATACAGTTACTGTATATATATTCCAAAAAAAACACTTGGAATTTCATGGGTCATTAACAGGATCTTTAATAAATGCAGATAAAGATGTTTGCTAATTAACTTTACAGGTATTCCTGAAATACTGAGAAATGAGAAATTAACTTCTCACAATTGCTTTATTCAGTTCTAGGAAAGTGTACAAGCAAGGCAACCAAACTTGGTTAAATAGTTTTATCTGTAAAAATGTCTTCTAGAGTGTTGACTGTTTATCAAGTCATCTATCATTTCTATATTAGGATAAAGCTAGTATGTGCTTACCATTTAAAGAAAGGCTGGCACTTTTTGATGTTAAACAGTCTGTTACTCTATGGTATGATCATTTCTGTATTCTTTTTATACTTCAAAGCTGAAGCATTAAAGTATTTTAATTGTGCTTTACGAGTGAAAGACAAGCAGAGAGAACCTATAGAGTACAGCATTGTTTCTAACTTTTTTCTCCATAACTGAGAGAAAGAGAAATTTAACAGCTTTCAAGACCAAATGGTTCTTGCAGGTTTTGATGCTAGGAAGAGTGGAATATTGCATTAGCAGTATCATCAAGATTATTGATTCTTTTAAGCCTCCCACTGGGATTATGCGCATTACTCTAATGAACTACAGGCTGTTTTCTCAGGACATGTGCTGTATTGAAAAATATTTTCTTCCACAGATACACAATAACTGACTGTAGCCCTACAAATGTAAACTCTTCAAATCTGAAACTTAATTCTGTTTTATCAGTTGAAATGTATAGCACACAACGTGAATATTTTCTGCAATAAAAGTGGCTTGTCATATACTGTAGCATTTTGTCTATCATAACATCAAGTCATAGAACCAAAAATGGTGTGTATTATACTTTGTACATCACAATATAAAGAAAAGCTTAGACAAAATGCTTACCTTGTCTTGATTATCAGATCTTCCTCTGAGAAAACTGGTAAGGTTGACGTCTTTCAAGTGGTAGACCAACTCTTGATTCTGCTGCATGCAGTTAAGGTGTACATCCCTATATATGTATGAGAAAGGTTTGTGTATCCACTGTGTAGGTGTTTAATTATCATCCATCAGCCAACCACAGCCTTCGACTGCAAAGGCCAGCCAATCGACGCCCATCTCTTGGATCTGCCACACTAACAAGGGATATGGCACTCAGATTACGTCATTCTTTAGTCACTAAGTGCTCCATTCACAAAATCTGCCAGTCATTTGAACCATTTGATATCTAAATTTACCTTGAGATCATTAATTAAACAGGAGCAAATCAAATAAACGACCGTGGAAATCATCCAATGCAATAAATATTTTATAGGTTTCCAAAAAAGTAACATTGCATGCTATTTTTCAAATGCCAAATCAATAAGCACTAGATGTAGCACTTGCTAGCAGAGCCATCTGCTGTGGAGCATAGCATACTGCAGACGCACATTCAGATATCCATACTCATCGATACAAGCAGGCTGCTCACTGACTTGTTTGAAGCAGCAGTGTGCACAAATTGTATTTCAGTGTATTTTTGAATATGGGACCACAACTGAGGATGTTCTTACTGCTTAGTATCTGAAATAGTTAAAATCACACTTTGTCAAGTGGATAGAAATTAAGCTCTTTTATGTAGGTTTAAACTACAGCATAGTATTAGTGGTAACATATTTTGTCTATTATTAACAGTACATAATTTTTTTACGTGAAATAATCTACTTTGAGTGTAACTCGGAGCTACTGTAGTTCTGTTCTTGTTGGAGTTTTCAATGGTGGTGTGTAAGTATATTTGTAGAATTATTATTACTTAACGTTTTGAGAAAAAATGTATCTTATAATTCTTCACAGTTATCTACTTGAATTGCATTAATCCTTAGTAGTTCTAATGCATATCTATACAGCAGACAATGTGAATAGTTTTAAGCCAATTATAAAGCTGTTTTTGAGTGGTATCATCTAATTCCTTTTATTTTTCATTATTGGGGAGTGTATCATAAAGCATTCCAGCAGAAAAGCTTCCTCTGCGTCACACAAGAACCCCATTAGTGTGGATGAGCCTTTTAGTGCTATTGAACTAAGCAGATGACAGAACTAGTAAATCACATGAATTAGACACAGGCAGGCATCCAGGCTCTGCTGGAGCGTGATGTAAACTGGAGGTATATAAAAACTAATTCCTTTATTTTTATTTAAGATGTAATTCTATTGTGCAGTATGTCCAGAACCCATTCTTTAGGGAAACTAGTAACAGCCTGTTTTTAGAGTTATGTTTCCAGCCTATATACAATTCCTGAATGAGAGCACATAGCAGCTCACTGAGATGCATAAAATGAAGTAGATTTTCCCTGTTAATTTGCCTGCAAGCTGTTTTAGGATTTCAGTAAGTGACCAGTTGTACAAAGAGGTTATTAAGGATAAACTGAAAACATAATAACAGTCTTATCATTAGGAAATTCCTTTGAATGTCTAAACTCTTCTCAATGAAAGTGTCGATCAGACATAATCTAAACATACATTTACAATTTTCAATAAATATAAATCGGTGAACAAGCTTGTTTGTTGAATATTGACACTACATAAACATATGCAAATGTTTTGTTTCTTGTGCCTTATCTGACAATTGCATATAACATATTTTTAATATATGTTATATGTATAAAAATTGAATAGTGCACTTTTTTTCTTTTAACTAAATCAAAATAAAAAATCAATTTATGTATCATTTTTAATAGACAATATGTCCTTTAAGTAAGGATAAAAGAGGCAAAATTATTATATATATTCATGGAGAGGAAGAAATGGATATGACTATTTCTCAATGAAATCTATTGCATCTGGCATTAAAGAAGAAGATACATTTAATGAAGACATTTTTAAAGTCAATACTGTAACCTTTTCCAGCTATTCTTATTTTTGTATCCTTCTATCCTCCCAAATGGACATTATTGCCTTATTCTTAAAGATGTTTTCTCGATCTGAAGTGATGTCAGAGTCTTATGAATGAAATAAGTATTTTACTTCCCTCATTCATAAAAAAGGGCTAAAGCTGTGTATCTAGGTTTTTTGTTTATTTTTATTGAGGAATATCTTTTCATCTTGTCAAATAATAAGTATTTGATTATTTTACATTTACATAATTTCTTTTAAAAAGCATTTATACATAAGTGCTTGTTTTCTTTTTATTTTTGCAAGCATGCTCTGTGGTATCTTTGTATGCTAACTCTGTGTGCAAAGACAACGTGTTCTTTCTGAATCTGCAATGTAATTCAATGAAACAAATGTTGCAGTACGTTTTCTGTTCCAAATGACAGCGGAAGCGGTTTTCCAGTAAATCTAGCTTCAGAAAAAACAGGCTACATCAGAATCAGAGGCTCAGATAGGGAGCATTGCTGCTACAAAGGACTTAACCTCTGCTTGTTATTCTGTATTAGAATTAGCCACTATGAGTCTTATTCAAAACTTATTTCCTACAATATTCACTTAATTCCTGATTTTGCAACGCAGATGTTCAACAATGAAGCTTTAAAGTCTTACCTGATTCATCCAGAATGCTCAATTAAACAGCACTATACATTATTTACATTTTTATTGAACTACTGTATCAGAAGTCATTTTTCCAATGTAAAATAAGCATAGTAAGCTTATTTTGATGGATGATGCAATATAAATGTACAGTATATATCCCTTATAGGTACATATAGAACTGTAAATACACTCTTGAAACAACAAAAAAACATGCAATATGTAACTGTTCATCCATTCAATTTGTTTTTCATAGCTCTTGGTAAAATCCAATAATAAATCTTACAATGTGGGTAAGCTGTGCTGTAGTCTTAAAAACAGCAGTGAACTGCTCAATGCAATTCTGAAGTAGGGAATCTAATGCTAATTCCCTATGGTCTTAAACAGGACTAAATCTCTGTGTGCATTTTGCCAACTTTATAAATTCAGATAACTGATCAAAAATATTTAAACATTATTGTAGTGTGAATTTAGTTATATACAATAGATAGCTGTGATTGATCAAACATATACAGTAACTGATAGATACGGAAGTGAAATCTATCTACTCTACCTTTTAAATGTGGTTTTAAACAATATAGCATAACCAGCAGTATATGACAGTAACATCTGTAGAGGCTGGCATGCTGCAATTAACCTTATCTTTCACTCTTAAGTGCTCATGGCCCAAGACCTCTGCATGGTCTTAATTACAATTTCCTTTAAAAAACAAGCTGCATGCAGCTCTTAAGCCTTTGTAGCAAACTCTCTGATCAATCACTCTCAAAATCTAATCAGTCCGAGTCCCAAAGTGGAATGTTTACCAATCACAAATCAATCTGTGTGTACATGTGCTCTTTCTATTGTGTTTCTTTCATCAGTTTAAAATGTTTAACATTTGTGCACCTGCAGACTTGAGTTGTAATGGGATTAATATTTACATATGCCAGAACTACAGTCAGACCTTAAAAATGGAAAAAAAATACTATACAGATACGGCTCTCTGGCACAAGAGGTAATTAGACTTTATATATGGGTTCCTAATAAGTGCAGCTTAACTTTAGATACAAACAATTGTGTTGACAAAGTATTATCTGTGTATGTGCTGGGACGTTATGTTTTAGATGTTCCACATCAGTCTTTTTTCTGAGACGAATGTGCTTCAGGTCCTCAGCAGCATTTTCAGTTGCTCCCAGATTTATTTGTACTCGTGGTTAAATAGGAACAAAAATTTCATATAGCAGAATAGGTTCCAGATTGGATAATACCTCACTTAAATTGTTATAATTGTTAAAATTTAACCATAGTATCAGTACAGACAACAAATTCATATTTGTGATACAAAATCAAATTCCAGAAACCTATTGGTTCACATTTATTTACACCTCAAAGTATCCTCTACTAATGTTACTGTTGTATATAATTTGGAAGAGCAGAGGCAGACTCCTGAACTGTAGAGAGGCCTCCACCTCCAAAGGTTTCCTGTTTCACCCAGGTTATAGATGGACGTAATAAATGAAAAAACTATAAAAAGATTGATAAAATGTGTAACCTAATACTTTCCACTATAGTTTTCATTACTAATACGTTTAAGACTACTTATATAGTAACCACACTGCCAGGATTAGGACACAATCTTGCTACCATGAGCTGTGAAACAAGTGGTTTGGAGGTGACTGTAAATCCAAAAGCAACAGCCTCTCCAAATCCCCTGCACCAGAGGTGGACTTACACAATACTAGAAGAGTGTGAATAAATGTGATTCTAAATGTATTTTTTTAACTTGAATTATTTAAGTCACATGGACGAATATGACTATGCTCTGTTCAAAGCTATTAGGATTATTATATAATATATTTTTTAATTAATACCAGAAACATTATCCAGTCAGCAAATCTTTATTTAATGTTTATTGTTCCTATTTCATCAGGGGTATGCTTACATTTGGGGGAAACGGTATGTCTTGGATTACTTTGTATGTATTTTTTCTTTGAAACTACTGTATAAAATGGCTCCTTGTTAGAACTACTTAAAACTGACTCATTCTGATTGCCTCATACAGTAGATCATTGAAAACTAACATAACATAACTAACCCTAGACACCTATTCTCCACCATCAACAGACTGCTAAAGCCAAACTGCCCCACCACATTACCTGCCTCATCCTAACTTTTGTAAGACATTCTTAGAGTTTTTTAGCTCCAAGATTGACAATATCTGGCATCACATTCTCTCCATGACTCCTCCCTGCTTGTCCAGCTTTACTGGTTCTCTTCTCTCTAGTTTCTCTCTGCTTGACTCTGCATGCCTCAGTTAACTGACTTTCGCATATGAAATCCACCGCCTGCCTTTTAGATCCCATTCCCACTGCTTTATTTCAATCCTGGTTCACTACTCTCTGACCCATTGTTCCTCACCATAATAAATGAATTCTTGAGCACTGGTGCGGTACCTGTGATCTTCAAACCTGCTGCTGTTAACCCTGTGCCAAAAAAATAAATATGGCTCTGGACATCCTAAACAATTTTTGCCGTATTTCCAACTTAAACTTTCTTGGAACACGCTGTTACAATTCAGTTAAATAACCATCGCTTCGCAGAAAACCTCTCTGAACCCCTCGAATCTGGTTTCCAACAACTTCACTGCACAGAAACTGCTCTGGTTAAGTCACTAATGATCTTCTTCTGGTTTCTATCCTAATTATTCTTGACCTCAGTTCTGCTTTTGACACTGTTAACATTGATATCTCACTTTCTTTTCGGGAGAATGTGTTTGCTGTTACTGACACTGCTCTTAAATGGTTTTTTAAAGTCTTACCTCACTGACCACTGTCACTTTCTCTCTCTTGGTGGCTTTAACTCTGAAATTGGACTCGTTAAGTCTGGCGTTCCTCAGGGATCAATCCTGGACCCCTACTTTTCAGAATTTACCTGTTCCCACTTGGTCAGCTATTAAGATCACCTGGTCTAAATGATCATTTCTATGCTGATGATACTCATAGAAATCCATGCCAAGCCTGACTTCTATGTGGCTGTCTCTGCTCTCACTAATTCCATCTCTGACATAAAAATGTGGATGAAAACTGCAACAAATTATTATTTTAATAATAATATAAAATGGCATACAATTCCAAGTGATTTTTATTACATTTTCAAGAGCTAAATGCACTTAATGACAGATTGCCAAATATAATATAAAAGGTGAGGCACCAAAGGTGTCTTGTCCCTAATCTTCTCAGGTTAAAAGACTCAACATAACAGAGAATTAAGATTAAACCGTATGACAAACACATGCACAGAGAAAATACACCCACAAATTGCAGAACTGCATGTCACAAAATAAACAACTTGCTTCGCAATGTGAAGAGAGGCAGATGGCTTAAGAATTCACTTCTCAGGTCTGTAAATTGTCTTCACTGCAGCAAACAATACTGGCTGGCAGCTGGTCATGCCATATTGGGAGAGAATGGTCTACAAAAAATAATTTGGCTATTAAAAAAAAATGACATGGCTTGCCACTTAAAGAATTAAAAGGTGTTATTTTAACATATGTTAGAATAATAAAAATATTTTACGTATTTACTTAATATTGCTATTTAATATTTTATTATTTAAAATAAGCACATCTCATGTTCATTGTTCATTTGACTGTCATGTTTATATGTTAAGAATGACTCGTTTTCATTTTTAAATTTGACAGATTTAATATGAAGCAGTAGAGACATGTCTCAAGTGCATTTATTAGATTATCCTTCTGTATGAAAACAAAACTTTTCATCACACCTGAACACTTACTAAAATGAAATGAAGGCTCTCATGAAAGCATTGGATTTAAAAAAAAAAGTACTGCTATGGGTTAAGAGACGCATTTATTACTATTAGCTCTATCAGTATCTCAGGAAATTGAATTTGTAGCAGAAGCAGGCATATAGCTGTATCATTATTAAGGCAACAGGATAAGTGTAGCTGCAGTAAGTAAGTTGTACTGCTTATGATTTATAGTAAATAAAAAATGGACAATGAAGTCATAGTGAACCACTCACAATTTAAAAAAAATCAGTTATAATCTATTGTGTTTTGCTTGCAAACATGCATCAGGTTAGGATTGTGATTGAATTTTGCTTACCCCTTACAGTGCAATTTCTTCATTTAGTAAGGCTTCTTGTCTTTTTGTTTTCTGGGACATTTTTAGTTTTGTGTCAATTCAGAAGCTTCACATTAATGCATGAAAGTGCTTTGAGTCCATTATCCGTGGGGTCTTAGCTCAATGGTATTTAAAATTTGTTGATTGCTCAGTTGTACTGTCTGTAAACCTCTTCTGTGGTACTTTCACTATTCCCTATTGTAATGTGGCTTATACTTTGGCATGATTCTTCTGATGAATATTGATTTTAATATTGCTTCATGAAAATGATCTAGGATTCTGACACCTTCTTTTTCATAAAATACATTCTGTAATAAAGTCTAATGCTATATTGAGCAGTGCGTTAAAAGAAACCCATGGAAAACTATTGTATTGGATATGAAAGCCAAATGCCAGCTGGTTTAGTTTTAAGGATATGCAGCACAGTAAATAGTCATCTGTGCTAATGAGGAACAATTTCAAAGAAAGTCAGTGAACAGGAAATTTAACAAAATCTGTTTGCATGCCAAAGGGAACATGGTAGTGCTTACATTCAACAAGGGGTTTCGTTAACATTTCCACCATTTCCACCCAGGAGAATAGTGAATCAATCAAACACAATAGGTCAGGATTTGAGAGAAAGGGAAGTGAGGTGAAACAAGAATAAAGAAAGCACGTTTTTTTTCTACTAAACTCCATCTTTTGGCATAATTTCAAGGGCTGTGTAGGCGTTTATTAATGCTGTTCAAATTTGGCAGGTCTTTTAGAAGGTTAAGTTGAAGGCAATTAAAACATGTGACCTGTCGCCAGCCACTGCGATGATTTATGTATTTCAGCTAATGAAGATTTAAAAATCAAACTAGAAATTAAATGTTTAGTACACAATACAGTATGACTGGTTAAAGACACTTGACATGGAAAAAAGCAACACTGGTGGTCAATGTTTAGTTCAATTAATCTGTCTGCCTGACATTAAACAGAAACCCTATAATAGTACTCTTGGTGCTATAAGACACAGGCAAACAACTCCAATCTTTAGTTCTGCCAGGAGCATATCACAAAAAAGACATTTTTTTGTTAAAGGCAAGCAACTTACAAGTGTACCCCACTTATCATACTGTACCTAGTATCACAATGATAAATGAAATCCATGCAATTGTTTAGGACATATTCAGTGAGTAATAATTCTTAAATAGCAGATTTTAATTCTTTACTCTTGTTTGGTAGTAGGTAAAGTCCAGACTAGTCCAGGTATGCCTTAATATTTTATAGTGCAGTGTTAGGTCTGAAGTACTGGAGTTTGTAAGACCTACAATACACTGGAAAACTATATACTGTAAATATAATTAGTCACAATATTACACAAAGGAAATCTATATACTGTAAATATAGTTAGTCAAAGTATAGCCATGTTGAAAAGTTGTCTAGGATTTCGATAACCCATCACACAGGTTTTACTGCTTGTCTCAATCTTGTGGGTGTAGGTGTTTCTCTACTTCTGAAGGTACCTACACTTATTTGTTTTTAATACAATCCTTTACTTAAAATTAATTTTAAATAAGGAAACAACAATTCTGACGTACAGTGATGACCTGGAGATGTCCTTCTTTTACAACAGAACATTGATTGGAGGACCTAGCTAAAGGGTACAGAAGTAGCCTCCTACCCTGGATTTGAACCCATAACTCTCTGGCTGTGACTCCAGAGCCCCTGTGTACTACTTCCCACTGTTGTTTCTGTAACAGATGTTTTTTTTTGGGGGGGGGGGACTTAGCGTATTATATCAATATTACCAGGCAAGGAGATCAAAAACTGCAGGACCTTATAATGTAATATTTACAGGAACAAATACTACTTTTGCAACACACGAGAATTATTCGAATTGAGCTCACCATTTCATTGCAAAACAAGAACATTTCACTGTCCACAGTACATTTTATTCTTCCGACCGTTTACAGTTAAAGCAGCTCCGTTTTCCTAAAGTTATGTTCCACTGACTGACAATTCCACATTCTAATCAAAGTTCATCAGTAGTAAGGAAACCTTACTTCGCCTAACCAATCTTGGCGAACTAGAGGCGGGCACTGTTACAACATGTGTGCCAGAGAACGTGATACAGTGTATAGCAATATTTGCTATAAGGAGAGTGAAGATTAACTTGTGAAACGCAGATAGTTCATACAGATTGAAAATGGTAACGGCAGGGGTGACTGCTCTCCTGTCACTGTCATCCAGGCAGGCTTTCGTTGCTTTCGGCAGTTTGGTAGTTACCTTTCTGTTTTTCCTGCTGATCCGTCAGCTTGCTAAGCAGAGGAGACCCAGAGGTTTCCCTCTGGGACCTACACCTTTGCCTCTAATTGGGAATATCCTGTCTCTCGCTTCGGAGCCGCACGTCTACATGAAGAAACAGAGTGAAACCTACGGACAGGTAGAACTTAACAGACGGCAGCCATACATTTATTCCAGATCGTGATTTATTTCATCAAGACACGAGAAAGAAACAGATATACTGTAGACAACTTCACTTACCGAAGAAATAAAGTACTGTGTTATTAATACTCTTAATCACAGAGTGCAGTGCCCGGTTTGCGAATCGCCGTCCTAATGTCCCCTGAGTACATGATGTTGTAAACTAGTCTGTAGAATCATATTATTCATAACATTGCAGGGACACGGTGTTTTAAAGATTCAACATGGCAACAAAGCATCTTTTGTCTTTCAAGTGTGTCAAAGGTTAACGCTAAGATCATCTAAATTATGTTCTTAAATTTCATCAGCCTACTCGTACTAGAAAAAATGCAATTTTGGCATTGCAAAGTGCCTGGAAGCATTTTGAAGTCAGAACTGCTGAGTTTGCTCTTCTCAGAACTTTTATCATCGTGGTAAAGAAAGTATTCTAAACTTTAAAGGAATAATATCGCACACCACTGACAATGAAAATAGACATTTGATAATGTTGTCACTGTTTCTTTGCATACATATACACAATTTATATTGCATACAGCTATTCAAAATGAAGGACATAAATTCTGTAAAACAAAATACTGTATATCAATAAGATCTCTGTTTTTCTAACTTTATGACAGTGTTATAAGGTGGAAAGTCAATATGTATCGCAACAATACAGAAACCGACATATTATGATGATTGTATCAATTTGCATGAATCCAAAGCGCTTTGTGTAATGGTCAGTTGTGATTATTCATCTATGTACTATTTATTTTTTTAAAGATTTTTAGTCTTGACCTGGGTGGCATATCAGCAGTTGTGCTTAATGGTTACGATGCCATTAAAGAGTGTCTTTCACACCAGAGTGAAATTTTTGCAGATAGACCTTCTCTGCCTTTATTTAAAAAGATGACCAAAATGGGAGGTATGTGCAAATTCTTCGTTGTTTGCCTTGTTATAATAAGTTATTTGTTGTGATCCCTCTGTTGACTGTGAGCACTAAAAACACAGCTTGAAAGTAATTCATGAGTCAATCCCAGCTTGTAAACGTGAATGGTCTATTCAGACACTGTATCATGAGAAGTGGGAAGAAGTGAAGAAATGAAATTTGGTTTGCACACAGGTAGGACTATGGTGAATAATTTTTCCATGGTACATGATAGTGGGTACAGATCAGTTTCAGCATCTGTGTGTGGTGTCCTTCCAGTTTTTCCAGCTATCACAGACACAAGTAATGATGACATTGTGAGTCAGTGCAGCACCCTCCAGTTTGTCCTGTCATTGTCCATGGTCACGTGTTCTTAGTGTCTCATTTGTATATCTGAATTAATCCTTCGATGGTGCAAGTTTCACATGACTATTATTGTTATTTGAGCCCTCCACATTTCTGTACAAGCGCTGTATACAGTATGTGCAGATACAGTTCATTGAAATCACAAAAGACAAGTCTATTGTCTTGACTCATAAACAAGCAGACAAAACATTCAGCAGTTACAGACCGGTTTTGCCCTAACTCGTCTAGGGACTCTTCAATGTAATGTAGCCATGTCTTGACTATGCGCTTATTGTAGTTTTGCCCTTTGTTTTAACTGGAAGGTCCGCTTGTTGCAAAAGAGGAAGATACCCCAAAATAAAGTAAGAGGCATCGAGCCAAGATATGTTTAAAGGTTGTGTGCCACCTTAGCAACAGAACACATCCTTAATAGTCCAGTCATGTTTAGGCTAAAGACACCAGTAAAGACATATTTGTTGAGGTACAATGTTAAATTGAAATTAATATTAAAATAATGAATTATCTTTTATTCAAATAAGGCATTTAACAAATAATACCCTGATGGGGTCTCTTGAGTGCAGTGTAGCTATAACTTGATTGTGCTTTTATCATTATTTTGTTTTTCATATCATCTTTCTCCAGTCAAAATGTACTTATATAGTACATGTTGACCTCAATGTTATGAAATAAATGCTTCCTGTAAACAAACGGAATGAGAACTGATCTAAAGACGAGGTTCTCTGCAGACTCTGGAACCTCTTGGAGTGAACATTCCTATTCTGACATCACCACATCCTGCAGAGAACTTTTGAACAACAAGTCTATTGCACTGTACAGTCATCTTTTGATGTGATTTCAGACATGCATTTTGAAGCTAGTCCAAAGACTGCTCCTTTTTTTTTTTCTTTTAGTCTTTCTAAACAGTTGAAGACTTTGGTCCAAAATGTCATTAGACAAATGATTTTTGAGGAGTAGGTTGAACTGCACTGCACAAAAATATTGACATTTCCAATTTACATTTTTTTTCTCAGTTATACAAAGCTTTAAATTATTTGGTAAATAATTTTAGGATCTGAAAAAAAATACTTTTTATTATTGTGTAACCTTGTGTATTGCAGAACAATTTCCTTTTTTTTAAAACAGCTGAAGAAGGAAATGTATTTGAAACTTCATGAAGAAAATGATTTATGAATGATTGAACTCTTGTGTGCAACTTAAAAACTTAGCTTTCTTTTAAATATATATATATTTAAATGTGTTGTCCTATTTCTAACCTCATCCAGTGTAGTACAAAGCTCAGAATTGATCTCTGTCAAAACAGATTCAACATTAAAAATCAGAAACTGGGGATAAGGCAGCACTGTTTAAAAGTGAACTCCTAACTTTTAAATTAAGCATACAAAAATAAATCAATACATCTAATAATTATTAACTCAGTGTGCAGTCTTTACTGTATGTCATCAGGCCAGTGTTTAGAACCCAGTATATTTTGTATGTGCATTAAGTTTTGTTGACTTAGACAAATTACTTTTCTGTTTCATTTAATTAATTCATCTGTTACAGAAGCACCAAAAGTTAGAATTAACGTTAAGCAAACTAATTTTATGCAATTTTGAAATTATTAGTTCTAGAAACTACTTGTTTCTCCTTCCTCTTTGTTTTATTTAGGGCTTCTTAATTGCAAGTATGGCCGGGCTTGGATTGACCATCGCAAACTCGCTGTCAACAGCTTCAGATACTTTGGCTATGGCCAAAAGTCATTTGAAAACAGAATCTCGGAAGAGTGTATGTTTTTTGTGGATGCTATCGATGACTACAAAGGAAAGCCTTTCAATCCCAAACACCTGGTCACGAACGCCGTGTCCAACATAACCAACCTCATCATCTTTGGAGAACGCTTCACGTACAATGACACGGACTTCCAGCACATGATCGAAATATTTAGCGAGAACATCGAGCTGGCTGCCAGTGGGTGGGCGTTTCTCTACAATGCCTTCCCATGGATTAAGATTCTTCCTTTTGGAAAACACCAGAAGCTTTTCAGAAACGCAGCCGAGGTATATGATTTCCTGCTGAAGATCATTGACCGCTTCTCTCGGAACAGAGTGCATCAGTCCCCGCGACACTACATTGATGCCTATTTCGATGAGATGGAGCAAAATGCTAGTGATCCCGCAGCTTCGTACTCCAAAGAAAATCTAATATTTTCTGTAGGTGAGCTCATTATTGCTGGGACAGAAACAACAACTAACGCGTTACGTTGGGCCATGCTGTATATGGCTCTCTACCCAAGCATGCAAGGTAAGCACAACTGTATGACACCCTGCATCACAAGACTGAAAATACAGTAATGTGATTCACTGGGATGTGACAGTAAGAAATCATGTGACAGCGCGAGTTGCCACAAAGCTTAATTCTTTCTCTCTGAATGAACATGATCGTTACTCTCTAACAACAGATCAGAAAGTAAATGGAGATGGGTATTGCATACATTATTCATGACTGAAATGATATACAGATTACAGTGGGCTAAGTGCTGCAGCTAACCTGATTGTCTTGTGCTTTCCTAGGTAAGGTGCAGAAAGAGATAGACAGTGTTGTTGGAAAGAGCAAGCTACCTTCTTTAGATAACAAGCCTAAAATGCCATTTACCGAAGCTGTGCTGCATGAGGTCTTGCGCTTCTGCAACATAGCGCCTCTTGGGATTTTTCGGGCGACTTCTGAAGACACGGTTGTGAGGGGATATTCAATACCACGGGGGACCACAGTGATAACAAATCTGTACTCTGTTCATTTTGATGAAAAATACTGGCGCAAACCCGAGCAGTTCTCTCCAGAGAGGTTCCTAGACTGTCATGGGAACTTCATTAAGAGAGAGGCCTTTGCACCGTTTTCATTAGGCAAGTTTACGCTCCATATTACTTAACAGAAAACCTGTCAGTGGTTAATAGAGACCCATCGTTCTTCAGAACTACTGTACATTGTCTCATTATACTACTACTAAAAATAATATTATTATTCTGTAGCTTTTTACTTTATTGTAATTTGTACAAGCCTATGAATGTACTATGTTGATTTTCTCTGAACAAAAAACATATGCAAAAGCACAACCTACCTTGTTTTGCTAGAGGGTAAATGACAAGATCATTCTAACTAGATCTTAGGCCATCAGCTGCTTTGATACATTACCATTCTATAATAATTCTGTCTGTTTTCCAGTGTTGAGTGGCTTCTTTCAGTCATGGTTTTGTGTATTTAATTGCTAGGAAGAAGACACTGTCTTGGGGAGCATCTGGCGAGAATGGAGATGTTCTTGTTCTTCACAACATTGCTTCAAAGGTTTACTCTTCAATTTCCTCAAGGGTCAGAACCAACTCTTACACCCAAACTAGGAATGACTCTACAGCCTCATCCCTATCTCATCTGTGCCATCAGGAGGCAGTAGCGCATGGAATTATACAGTATGAGTAATTATGAGTAAACTCAGGGAAATGGATCACTGAAACCCAGTGCATTTAAAGTGCTTTCACACCAACAAACCTCAAACTGAAGAAGGCAGTTTTTAATTCCATTTTGTAATGGTGCAAACATAGTCAAATATTTTCAACTGAACACTCCGTCAGAGCTGTCTGGTTGCATTACATGAATTATGAACCAAAAAAAGTTAGTTTGCAGCTAACTTGCAAAGAATAAGAAAATGAGTTTTAAGTGGAAATATTGCTAATTAAAAAAGGTAAAGATGAAGACCTTCAAAATCCATCCATAAAACCTTGCACATTTTTTTCTTCTGCAAGGTGACAAATTCTTGGTACTCTTTTATAATGACTCTTTCAAGAGAACTTGTATACAGTTAAATGTTAACTTTAATGTAAATTACTACTCCATGTAAGGGACACAATGGGACTAATGATCTCCCTGTGTGTCCTTGCTATACAGTGAGTAATATGCATTTCACTGTTGCCCATTTACTGAATGTTTAGTCTGATTTGGACATTTTATTAATGTTGCTTTTCTATTAGATTTTTAAAATCATTTTATGTTACAATAAATGTTAACTGGTCTGGCCAGAAAAAAAATAACTTAAAAGTTTGTAGTAAAACATTTGATATGATTTGCTAAAACTGTGAAGTTAAGAGTAACACACGAGGAATACAATCAAAAATGAGACTGAGAGATTTTGTTGAAAAAGCATGCCTTTTCAGAAATACAACTGTGGAAATAGCAGTTGCAGTATCTTTATTTTAATGTGTATTGCAATATTCTGTTCTTATCACTGTATTCTGTTTTTAAAATCGGATGTTAAAAGTGCCTGTTTACAACTATGGTGGAGGTACTGTCTGTCTTTCGCTGTAGACATTGTAAGATACTGAGGTTGTGGAACTGCTTCTTTATTTTCCTTATTAAAGTTCTTGCAAGGATCACTAACAGACGTATATATTTTGTCCATATATGCTATCTCAGAGTTACCAAATGTGCTCTGGTCTTTCAAACACTTAAGAGCAAAGTATTTCCAGAAGATGTTTTGAAACAAAATAGAGAAATCAATTAAAAATGTTCTACAAAAAATAGAAAATGCAAATTCATTTTCAAATACTTAAAAACTTTATTAAGTGAAAACAGTAAATATTGAAAAGAAAGAAAAGAAAGATACAGTAGATCAAGAGTGAATGTAGGATTTATTTTTCTTGATATGTATTCCTGCATTAATTTCAATGCTCTGCAAAGTTGTAGATAAGTGTTGTTTTTAGTTAAAACCTGGGCGCCAGTGGATCAGGTGGATAGAGAGCACCAGTAGGTCTCAGATGAGACCTGGAAGGAGTATCTTCCAGTGAAGGGCAGACTGTGAATGTGCTGGGAGTTCTGGAGTAGGAAAGGGACAGGGGCTTTTCTTCCAGTTAAAGGAAAGACTGTCTGTGGATGGGTGGTCCCAGTGGAGTTGGCAGGGGTTTCAGGGAATTAAAAAGGAAGAGAATCGAGAACTAAGAGGAGTTTTACAGGAATTTATGTCTGTTCTGGCTCTTTCAATGGAAGGAATAGAGGACTGTAGAGTTCTTCCACAGTAGAAGAAGAGGAACTGAAGATCTGCTGACTAATACCTCTATGATGAACTGTTTGTTTGGGGGGGTCTAAGCAGGCTATCATAGTCTGGAGAGGTTCTGCAAGCCAGACTGTAACAGACCACCCAAACGTACACACGTCATCTGGTCACATGCGGACGTCGGGCTACAGATTGTAGTTTGAGAGGTTGGCGTTCATCGTAAAAATGTTAACCAGAATGGTTTCTATGTAGCTTGTTACAGTACAATGATAACAAATATGTTTAATTTACTAAGTGTCATCAAACACAAAGAGCATGGCAATGAAAACTTGTCCTTGAAGCCATGAAAGGTTGTTCTTGAAATTGGCTGCGTAACCTAAGAAAATACAGAAGATGAGTTTGGAAGTTATCTGATTGAAACCATCAAACAGTGTCGATTGCTTTTCTACACCCATTTCCAGGAGGTCTTAAAAGACACTTAAGTACACTGCATTTTCCACTTATTACAAAGCCCTCTGTATTCAGTTACTAATATAGTGTTGGTGTACTTAAGCTATTAAAGATGGTAGCATAAAGGCATGATACTCTTTGAAACAGATTAGTATCATTCAGGAGCACAATACAATATGTGCCAGACATTCCTTACTGAAAGCCTTATTTCATTTATCTCAGGAAGCATTCACGTTTTAATTTAATTATTGGCTTATATGTTTATATGTTTAGAAATAGGTTTACAGTAAGCAAGTATGTTCATCAGATTATGTCCAGTTAGGTGAGGGGTATATCCACAGGTACTTTTTCTGAGGTTGTAAATGTACAGTATAACGTGTACACTGCTGTGGCTGTGCTGTCCAGGGCTGCTTCAGCTTGTAGAGTGCAGAAGAGAGGGTGGGACCCCACTTCGGGCAAGGACTCAGCAGATGACACCCTCAATCCAGTCTCTGGTGCGCCTTAGAAGTCCGACATGATGATGTGCGCTGGCCTGGTCACGGCAGGGGACCCCCCCGTTCAGCCTTGCCCTCTGGACGAGCTCCCCAACGTGGGTGTCCGGCCTGGCCCCTGTGCTGGACTCCTCAGCCCTCCGGACCCTGACGGCCCTCCCTGTCTTGCACCTGCTTTCCCTGCACTCCTCCCATATTCTAGTCCCAGCCTGCCTGCCTGCGTCCCGGGCGATTCCGGCGGACTGTCTTCTACCCCATACAGCCTTTTCTCTGGGAGCCTGGCTGCTGAGAATCTCGACCACACATGTGGAGTCCGACATCCTGGGCGGGCCAAGCTCCTGCGCGCCCTAGCTCTTGGGTCTGCAACATCTTTGTATTGTCCCCCATTCCCTGGGGGGTGGCACCAGGTTATAACACTAGTTACTGGTTGCAGTAACTAGCCTGGTTCTGGTGCCACTGGTCTGGCGAGTGCAACATACACACAATAGCATGAGGATCGATTAAATACCATTAACTTTTGCCTAAATTTGTCTTGACTATACTAGAAAGTAGATAGTCCTATTATTCAGTTGCTTCTGTCCCCTCTGCCCTGCAGCTCACATTAGCCACAGCTTCACGGTTATGTGGGGTTGGAGTTTCGTATAATTCAAGACTTGCCTTCGCATCCTAAGTAAACACGATTGGTACACAACGGTCTACAAGGCATTCGTACTGGAACAGCAAAGAACATTGCTTATACAGTATAACTTACCCTGCAGCAAATAACACAGTCTGCACATCCTCCGGTCTGCCCTTGGGACCATCCTTTTCAGCCAGCACCTCTGATCTCCCCAGCAGTCTTGGAATTGCCCAACTTCCTCCGTAATCGTTGCATTTGATGTGCATTAAATTGTACCATCATTTTTCCAACCCGCATTGTAATGCTGATGTACTTAATTTGTTATTGTTGTAATAATGCTGCATTTTCTGTGTTGGATTTCAATTATAATATCATAGAATTACTCCACTGTGTTACTGTGCTTATCTGTATTTTTATTTTTTTCTGCAGATGTTAACCACTGCAGTGAACTACAAAATCCTAAATGGCAGAGCAGATCAGGTGGAAGAATTACTGACCTTCTTTGATTCCCCTAAGGTACCACTGTTCACAATTCACTTTTCCTCATGTTTCAAGACTCATAAAATAAAGAAACCAAAGGTGTAACACATTGTATGTACTGTCCCCAAAAAGAAACTGTATGCAATGCCAATGTGATGTATTTGTGATGTGTACGACATACAACAAAATCAGTCTACATATGAATGAAACATTCCTAAAACTGACTACACACCTTCATCCAATTGTATAGGTTCTGTATATAATCCTTATAACAAGGGGGGAGTGTAAATTCAAACCACCAAGTCATAAAGTCAGAAGTGCCATAGCTGAGCTGGATGGATGTTTATAGATGGATATCTCTGATATTAGGCAGTTTTTGATGGAACTGTCATCCACTCGTAAACCACAGCACCCAGGCAATGGATACATTTCCTCTCAACACAAACCTGTCTGAGCTTGATAAAGGAGACATACTACCCTTTTCCATGTGCCCTGGTACAGTACATGTTCTGAACATGCCCTATTATTAACATTATGTTTGGGGGCAATGCATTCAATGTATGAATCACAAAAATGAACTGCATGGTATGTTTAGAATCTTGCCAAAATTGTTACGCAGTTTCTGTGTTGGAACAGTACTGTATATATATACACACACACATTTTAAAATGCCACCCTTACGTTTCTCCTTCTTCCGACAGTTTAAATCCTTGAATAACGGCTTCCCCTTTACCCTGCCACCTTTGTAACACTTACTTTTGTTATTTTAATTACTATCCAAAGCTTGGTGGTACATGGAGGGAGAGCTGTACTTTATAAAAATAGTTGAGGAACCAGTACTTAGGATGGTGCTAACTAATGTTTTAACTCATTTTGAAAATTGATCTTAATGATGGGGGGATGTTGCGATGGGTAAGAAATTAAAAAAACTTCTGTGACTAAACAAGTGAGCCACACCAACGTTAACCTATATAAAGTAAACAGTACAATTAAATGCCATACTTTTATCGCATATCAAAGTCGTAACTTTGAGAACTGAACACAGTCCTATGCAGAACCACTAATAAATTAAGAATGACTTGAATTCACTTCTCTAATAATCTAGACTGCCTATAAGACACATTTTTCTTCACATTATGTACTGTATAAATTAACCTCTATTTAACATTGCTAAAAAATATGCTTCTGCTACATTTTTGCTGGTTATTTTTTATAAGGGCATTTACACACAAGTAAGGACCTCAGTTTACACATAGCAAGAAAGAAGAAACAAAAACAGTATAATATTTATCCTTCTGAAATTAAATTTTCATGAAAAATCTTACACATACAGTAGGTGAAGATGAAAGTTTAGTCAAAACTATAACAAACATTTTTTCTCTCATTTTGAACAACTTAAAAAAAGTGTGGAAATTATTGCTATAAGGGGTCTTGCAAAGTAGACCGGTCTTCATTCATTTTCACATCTAATTTCAAAGTTCAGCCTGCAAAATGGAACTTTCAAAAGATCCTGAAAATGTTTTTAGTTTCTAAATCATTTGATAATTCAGAAACTTACAGCTTTTGGTATTTTGAATCCAAGTCATGGGAACCATAGCAACATCATGAATTTAATCTTTGAGGGTGGGAATTGTCATTAGACTAGACAACATCAATAATAAAGAATACCTGTGAGTGTATCTTTGCCGACTTTCCTGGTGTCAAAATGAAAATAAACACAATTGTCAGATTAAATAATACAGCAGGTACAGGGATCAGTGTATTTTCAATTATTGCATGAATGGAAAATCAGTAGAGTGTTATTATGTTTTTATATTTCTGGCTCTTCTGAATGAAATCTTTGTGTGAACATAAATACAAAAACCACAACACCCAGGCAATGGATACATTTCCTCTCCACACGAACCTGGCTGTAAAATGATGAGCGAAAAAAAACCACGTCAATTGAAATATCAGTGCAGTCGCAGGTCTCGCAGTGGTGACATGAACAGTCTTCTTGGTTTGTAAAATGTTACAATGGCCCATTTGTTACAGGTTATGGAAATGACGAGACTTTCTACACAAGCAGGGACTTTGAAAGACTTATTCTGTACACATCTTATGGACAAGTTAACGGTGAAGTTTCCATAAGTTCTGTTACTCACACTGAAGTTCACACTGTACCCTGGGACTGGAGCAATAGTTATATTGGATTTGTCATCCACTTGTAAATGACTCCCAGTGCTTCCATCAGTGTACTTGTAAGTTTCTGATGCTCTACAATTAGGCACTCTGGACTCTTTAGATGAGTATTTTGGGTGATCCCATTATTTAGCTATCACCTGTTTGTCAGGGTGTTGTGGGATACAGATTAATTAAATTTAGTAAAAGCAGGAGAGTTTAACCTACCGGTCACACAGCCATTGGTACACACGCATCCACACGCTTGTATAGTAAGTCAACAAGGGAAAAAAAAAACGTTTAGCTGTGGATCAAAAAGAACTGTCCTCTGAGAAAGTATTGTAGGGGTTGTGTTTTATAACATCTTTAAATAACAATAAAACTCTAAAAATGGTTTTCCCCACTTCAATAGGATCGAATGGTTACATACATACATAACGGTGCTACATAAAGGTGACAACCATTCATAAATGTATTTATGACAAGAACATCCGAGAAGACTGTGGTATATGATGGTGCACAGTGATAAGTCAATAAACAATTAGGCTTACAATATAATGAGCAGAAGAATTGAGAAACAGGGCACAGGGGAGCTTTCAGAAACTGCAACCTGCTATGCTGAATAAGCAAATAGATTGTTTTATGTCAATTCATTTTCTGATTGCACTTAATTCATGTTTCTGATTTTTTTTTTGTCAGTGTTTATCTATTATCCTCATAGTCATTTATTACTGCAAGATGCAGCATGGAGACACTTTAAGGCGGCATGGGACACGATGGGGAACAGAGTTTGGCACCAGTTGTGTTTGAAGACGTAGAGACAAGTGGTTATGATTAGAAACATGACGACACTTTAGCCAGACAAAAACAACAGTTCCCATGGCTCTTCTCACAGATTTCACATCTGTAAATAGTATTAGATAAAAACTCTGGAAACTGGATGATAATTACAGGTTCTCTATGTACAATATTTTTCAGCCACATGTATAAAACAGACGAGTTTGGATACAGTTGACTACTTAAAAAAAACGATGCAGATATTTTCTGTGCAGAGAATAAAACACTGCTAAAATTGTTTGTTTTTTTTAGTAAAAGGTGCACATTTTCATGTAATAGCTTAATTTGCACCACTTGCATGAGAACTTTTATGACTGGATTAAAATTCAACTATTGTGAAAGAGCTGTGCATGTCTCACAATACAAACTCCTTCACAAATGTAAGTCTCAATAAATATACTGTTTTTGTGGAATGTCTAGAGTTCTCATCTTACAGAAAAATAAAAGTATTTTTATTCCTAAACTCAAATTACGTTATAAAATGAAAATGTAACAACACACACATATTAAACTTTTTCTGGGGAAAAGTGTGGAGAGCTAACTCATATAATTATCGGCCTTGGTGTACGTCTTGCAAAGAATGATCATCTCATGAAAATACTGTTGTTTGTAGAAGGATAAACAATTGAGTGGGTTTATAACAGTGTTTGTTAAAATAATGAATACAGAAAGGCAACGGAAACCTCTGGTCCTATTCTAATACATGAACAACCTTGTTTATTCAATGTACGATTTTATTTTTGCCGTTCTGCAACTTACTGTATCATAAAAACACTTACAGTAATATCCCTGTGTTTGAGTTTAAGGGGTTCTCTCCAAAAATAAATACAAAACTCTTAAATCTTTTTTTTGGTGATGGGGAGGCGGCATCAACATGAGTTAAATCCACCTCTGAATTTATTCAATAATTTAATGAAGGTGAATTTGAACAGGTAAAACAAGTTTGGTGCAAATTTTCCGTACAAAGAATAAAAACGGTTATTATTATACATAGTTTTTACTTACAAGAGTATTAGAAATCATTATGACTTCATGAGCTGAACTCTTGCAAAATAACTATTAATCTAAGTGTGAATCCTGAGTAACAGTGAAAAAATATATATATATTAAAATAAAAAAGGAAAAACATCCCTTCGTTGGAACAGTTTTCCTGTTCTGTATGCCGTATGCTATGTGGTAAACAACAATAGACATTCCCAAGTTGATTAAGTTGATTGGCCGCTGTGCATTCCTGGACAAAAAACAATAACAGAAAATAAAACCCAAACAAGGCAGTTTATACACAGCAATAAAGGGCATCAAAAATGATGCAGGTGATTTTTTTTTTTTGTTTTCAGTCAAAACGTCAGAACTTGAACACGTTCTAATGATACTGTCCACTTTTCCCAGTCCTCAGTGTTCAGGGTAAAACTGTGCAGTTACAGTTTTTTTTCTTCATATTCAGTCCGCACTGCAGCGCTCAGTGCTAGGTTCAGACAGGCACATTTTCTTTTTTTTTTTTTAAATGATGGTGAGTCTGAATGAGTCTCAGAATCACCTACATTTCCATACTTGAACTGTTCACTTTGGTAACTGGTGTCAATAGTTTGAAGGGCTTCATTGTTTTAAATTATATTTTAAGTACCTCATGGAAAGTAAGTGTTCAGTGTTCAACAAGGCAGCATCACAGCTAGATAACGTTATTTTTGTTGAAGGCATTCCTACCCTTACTTCCTGTTACATATGCTTGTTTTATTTTCTGAAGTAAGTTTTCTCTTTATTTCCATGGGGCGAAAGTGCAAAGGAGTGGGTCTCCCACTGGTTCAGTGAGAATCCGCTCACAGTATTAAGGCCTTTTCAATGTGACGTGAAACGCATCAGTGTCTGGTGTCGGCACAGTGACAATTCAGTGTGTGTCATATCCTGCGGGGCAGGAGGGGCCACTTCTCCTCCACTGTGGCCTACTGCCTCTCCTCCTCCTCTGTCTCCTCCTCTATCACCTGAATCTCGTCAGATGTCTGAGGTAAAGATGAGTTCTCTATCTGCTGTTTGCTCAGTTCCACTTTGCTCTTCTCTTCCTCCTCGATAGTTTTTTTCCACACCTTGTGATTTTCAGTCAAGTGGTGCATGATGTTGCAGAACAGCCGTCTCCTGGTCTTTCTCCTTTCTGCACCAGAGCAATAAATGGGGGAACGTTCATTAATAAGTCACTGACCCTACTGCTCTAAAGGGGATAACAGTTCAGGAATGCGTGAACTGTTCTGCCAGCTAGAGAAATGTTTGACTACATTCTGCATAAGTTCAAGTAGGTCGCTGAGTCAGCATTCGTAGGCTACAAAGGAACAGGTAAAGATTTATTCCATGCTGAAAAGAGGCATTTAGAATGTGGAGCCTTTTTCAGGTGTGCCTTCTTCTCGTCAGCCAAAACGTGTCTCTTTACTTCTCGGCATGAAATAAACCTTCACCTGTTCCCTTACATTCTGCATATCTGCATATTCAATTATGCACATTCTGTATAATTGAAACAAACAACACAGGCATATTTCCAGTCACTTTCTTGTGCCTTAACTTCAAATCTAATGTTCAGATCAGTTATTTCTGTGACAGAATTAGTTTTAATTTATAGTACCTATCATTATTGTGGAATTTTAAACATTTCAACAAGTATTTCATGCTTCATCTCCCTTTTGTATTATGTGGTTTTATTGGTACAGAAACATAGAGCATTCAGGTACTGACGTTATAAATAACATTTTAGAACACCTCATTGTTCTATGAAGCTGGCACATTTGTTTACTTCTATAAATAAGTGGGATGCACACAACAGGTTCTTTGACATGGGAGTTTCACCTCTTTTCTTCGCTGTGGACTGATTCAAAGGATTATAATTATAATGGAATTAACTCTGTTTTGAGCACAATGGATATTCCGGTTAAAGTTCCCAATACTAAAGACTTAACTTGTTAGAAAACATACTGGACAGACCTCTTCACCTCTTAGAATTTGATTTACCCACTATTTTACCTGATTCAAAGCATGCCTGCATTGCTAAGCAAGTTCAAATGGTGAAAATGGGGTTGGATCGTCAGCACTACTGTTAAAGCAAGATCTGCATATCGTTCTTACTTGGTTCTATGTCCTCCTCGAGGTCATCATCTTCCGTTTCACTTTCTTCCCCATCTTCGACATCTTCAGAAGATTCTTCATCAATCCAATGACCGGGTAGGAGTCCTGCAGCGTCATAGGAGTTGCAGAGGGGCCCCACGATGTGAGTGATGAAAGACTCCTGCAGTTTTGCCAGCTGAGGCGATGAGCGGTCCATGAAGGGGCTGATGGGTAAGCCGAGGCTCGCCTCTTCATCTCCCTGGAAACGGTTCCAAAAAGAAAGCTCTGTTTAGATGATGAAATGGCCAGAGCAAGATTTGCAGCGTTGATCATGGACCACTGCAGCCACGAAACATCTGGAGTTTTTCTTACACAACCCAAGAGCATAAAAAGCCTTTCAGATGCCTTTCAATCTCATTTCCAACAATACTGAGCAGACTGTGAAACACAAGGTATGTACATTATACATATATACAATATTTATGTACTTTATCTATTTAATATATATATATTTATTTGTATGACACATCTTGAGTATAATGAGCTAGAAATATAAATCACACTGAGGCTGCGTACCTGCTCATAAAATTCATTGACAATGCCTTCCGTCCATTTCAAGTGTAATTCTCGACCTTTAGCGGGACCATTGATATCTGCCAGCTTAATGCACACTTGACAGACCAACAGGCGGTCATTTTCATTAGTCCAGTCTATGCCTGGACTGTTAACATCATTGACCTATATCGGGCAGAAAAAAAAGTATTTTACTATTCATTGTGATACAAATAACTAGCTTTTTTTTCTAGCAGAACTGTAAATCGAACAATTTCAAATGAATAACTTCCAAGTGGCCGTGAATGGTTCTCTTTAATCTATATTTTAAATGGTGTACTCTTCTAAGGAAGAACTACCACCCCACCTTAGTATTGAACTCTGCCAGAAAATCAAAATGCTTCTTGAGGTCTGTGGCTAAGATAGCTTCAATCACAAGGAAACGAAAGCGCTTGAACTCCACATGGTCCAGGTGAACCAGAAAGTTGAACTCTGGCTGGGACAAGTAGAGACTCCAGGCAGACGCTGCGTGATGGTTTTCCAGGACTGATCTGTCATTGTACAGCACAGCCTAATGGGGGGAACAGAAACAATGTTATGCTTTCACCTCACATCATCAAGCAGGACCTGGGTTTCTTCTTTCTCAGCAAAAATGATCCAGCCAAACCAAGAATAACACTCTGAGCTGCAGCCAACACTGTTGCCAACTCTGACTTGGTAGTTTTTAATTTTTTTTTCCAAATATTAAAAGAACAGCATAAAAGAGACTGATGAAGATAAAGATATTTATCCATTTGAAAATAAGCCAGAAAGGCATGCTATCTAGTTTGTAGAAAAATTAGAGTCCCGTACCAACATATTTCTGGGGCATTTTGCTAATTTAGATCTATGCTATTGATCGGTTATTTAATAATATTACCAAAGACGTAATGGAGCACTGGAAATCTGATCACATGCCAGAAAAGAATCTACAGTACAGCCTTTAAGTACACAAAACTGAAATACATTACATGTACCTCTAAAATATATTACTTTTATCTATTTTATTTGAAGTGAATTTGTATTTTACTTGTTCACAAACAGAGAAAAACTAATCACACTTAACATCACAGTACAGTGTATCTAATATGTTTTACAGCACTTCAGCTTACCTGGGGTGCATTAGTGGCTACAAGGAAAGCATTTGTCCGACCAGGGTGATCGTAATCATGCATCGCAGCTGCTACATATAGCGCCATGAGCTCAAGGGCCGGGATGTTCCAAGATAAACACCCATAGCTGTCATCTGTTATCACACAGCTTTTTGAGGAGGCATAGGCCACCCTGCCTGGTGAGATCCCACTGTCCGAATCTGGAGAAAGCAAAACGTTTATCTAATTAGCAATCAAGGAAGTTAAATGCCAATTGAGGAGAAATGCAGAACAATTGTCGATGTAAAAAGGAACGTTCAAAGGACAGGTGATGTTTACCTCACGCAGAGATATGCGTATACCCATGCATATACAGTTGCATACACAATCACTCAATTAATTATTGGAATATCTTAATATCTTGCGAGGATGAATAACTGTTGAGTCACCTCAAGAAGCATAACTACTCAGCTATACATGTCAAGAATTAAAATATATAATCCTGCTTTTGTTGCATTTTACAGTACATAGTATTGTTTCTTAGAGAAATAACCTCTCAGGATGTAAACTACGTTACTAATAATAAAAAGCAGAGGGGAAAAAATGAAAGCATTCAAGTCAGCCGCATGCCACAATTGATCTCTTACAAAGGTAATAGTACATTTACAGGTTTTCTGTTGCAGCCATGCAGATATAGAATAACATTCCCAATTCCCCATAGCACATGAGAGTGTCTCTGCAACCAAAACTGTCAAACAGTGCTTTTAAAACAACAGGCGTATTATTATAGCCATACTTAAGGGCCATGTTATTTCTATAACATCACATAAATAATGTTGATAATATAATATAGTATTCTGTACAGTACTGTATAATAAAACATTGCAAAACAAAAAGTTACAACAACAATTAATGGTAAAACTTTTAAATGTGTTCTCTAATACACCTGTGATTTCAGTGTCTCTGTCTTAACTTCTTTCCACCAAATCTGGATCGTAGTGTATACAAGTAGGCTAAATGACCTGAACATCAACCTCATCAATAATCATAAACTAGCTAAAACAAGCATGATGATAAGAAAGAGAAGACAAAAACAGACTTGTTCGATAAGTCTCCTTCAGGAGAGAACTATACTGTACAGTAGCTTGAAGAATCTGAAGAAAAGGAATCCTTTATCTAATTCATTAATCTTTAGAGGTTTTAATTTTGCAGATACCCTCTATACTGTAGGTCCTATACAAAGAATAGACATTTTAAATGTCAGGAAAAAAGCACATTCTTGTCTCTTTATCTGGTAGGAAGACATGTTTCATTTAGCCTTTACCGATTAACTACAACTGCATTTGAGTTACTGGTAGAACCTGTTACAGTAGGTCTCGGGCACATGATATTAGTCTTCAGAGGCTTGTAAGTGGCCCAAACAGTAAAGGAGCTTGATTCAGAGCTCTACCCTGAGCCTGGGTCAAGTCACTCACCACCTGTGACCTACTGTAGATTACCTGTGAGGCTGTGCATAACTGGCACAGCTCTGCTGCCGTAGGGTTGAGGTTAGCAGTTTCTAAACACACACTAACAGTATGAATCACCGAACAAACAATATTTATTGTATTTAGTACTGTAGCACAGAAACCATGTGCCTGTACTTATATCCACCCCAGTCTATATTCACACTTTCATTGTTTAATAAGCAAAACAGTTTCACAATTAATATTCCATGCCTGCTGTATAGGGATGACTACTTTCATCATAGGCTTCCAAATCTATACTACAGTAGACTGTATTCTTGCTTCCTCAAAACAGCCTGGGGCACTACACCTTTAAACTACTTATCATTTCAGTATGCACTCTGCAGGTTGAATTAGTCAAAGAATGACTCAGGCTATGCTCCATTTAAAAAATTAAAATAGCCATCCGCAGAGTTAAAATAAGCTTGAAACATGCTGAGTTCAGCAGCAACAACAGATTTCAATCACAATGGAGGCCTTCTTATCTAATGGCAGCTGCTCTTTTGGCAGAAGAGGTAAATCAGTCAGCAGAGGTTTTTAATTAATTTTCTATGGATCAAGGCTACGTCAAATATCATTAACCAAAACGAGACTTAAGAATTTTCTGGTCTTATTCTAAACAAGCCATTGAGGATGTGGACTGCACAAAAAATGTGTTCAACAAAATGAATACAACAATAATATCTTTACAATTAAAAACAATACATTTATACATCCAAACATTCTTCAGAATGCAACATGAGAAAAAAATAAACAGAATTCATGACTTATTGAAGGCAGCATCAACACAGATACCACATGTTCCATTAATTTAAAAACTAAAACATATTTAGCATAGCCTATTTACAAATCAAGCAACCAGATACCAGAATGAGCTCAGAATTAGCATCTTGCCAGTCACAGTCTATATAATATAAATCTTCAAGTACTTAATGTGGAAAAAAGATTTGAGATCAGCTTGAAAAGTACTGACTGCTGCTCAAGTAGAAGTCAAATGGCCGCTACCTGTGTCACTCCCAGTGATGTGATCATTGTGGATTTGTTGGAATCCAGGGATCGGCCTTGTGGTCAGATACCAGACAGCATGAAGGACATCCGTGGCGTGAATACGATTGTGATCTGAGCGAGAAATAGAACTTGAACACTCTCCAAAACTGCAGACACTCATTAGCACTCAATCTAAATAATCCAAAATTATTTATCCATCATTAGTAAAGTAGAATTTACTTCACAATATTATAAGCTAAATGTATATTCATTCAGGACACGGCAACAATAAAATTAACATTAATCAAGAAAAAAAACCTGAGGCAATTGCTATTTGATAAAGTGTAAAATAAGTGTAAAATTAGAAGAAATGTTATAAAATACTCACAGGGAATGTCCCGGTAGCCATTCTCCAGTGCACAGAAGTACGACATGAATTCCCGGACTGGTATTTTGAAAATTTCAAATAAACCAGTGTCTTGGAATAAGGTGTAACTAACCTGGAAGAGCAAGAAATGCCACCATCTTTAAAACACATAGTAGGATGAAATCCCCATCCAATTTTCTACATTGCTTCTACTAAACTAAGTCAAGGATAATATGGTTAATATAGGAAAAATGGACATACTGTATAGTGATTGACATGGTCGAAGCAAGGTTTTATCTATGTTTTGTGACAAAAATACAGTGTTTAAACTGCAACAGATAAAATAGTTGTAATTGAACTTACAAAACTCAGTATTCTTCCCGATTTTCCTCCTGTTTTGTCAACCAGATCGAAGATAGGAAAGTTCCAGTTGTTGATTCTCTCCATAAGAACTTCATGATCCTGTAGCAGTGGGTCCAATATGAAGTCTTGGTTGCTCTGGTTAAAAAAAAAAGAAAGTATTGGCCATCTTAGCATTTTTCTAACTCCAGTAATTCATGTCTGCAGTGATGCCATGTAGTTGCACAATGTATAATATTAAAAAAAATGAAAAGGTTCACACATTTTGCTATATTCCTGTGGTCTTATTTGCCAGACTTGTAGGGCATAATAGAACTTAGAGGAAAGTTATTCCTGAAGCACTGGTAAGGAGGCTATTTGATGAGAAAAATTACTAAGTAAGCACGATCACAAGGGAAGCGCCTTTTTTTGTAGTGCAATAGACTTTTTACAGTGGGAAACAAGCAACAAAATAGGTGAAGAAACGGGTGTACACAATTGAGTATTTTCAGAAGTTACTGAATGATATTCTTTTTAAGAAAACATATATTTCTATACTCTACTATACAATAATCACAAATATGATATTTTAAATAATTGTGTGAAGGTATTGACAGCTAACTACATTTTAAATGGAGATATTTACACCAAAAACATACTGTAAAACACTACAACTAATTCTGTGTTAGTTGTAATACAGTACCTTATATTTTGATCATTTATGGCATGTATGTCCCCCTTGAAGTACACTTAAATCAACTCAGCCCACCACAGCAAATGAGTTTGACATCCCTTTGTTGTGACATCACTCTCCTTTTTACCCTGAACTCATGAAAATCAAGGGTTGTCATTTTCAGCTACACGCATTTCCAATTATATCTAGTGCGGAAATCAGAGCCCTAGGTCATTCTTATGTAGAAAGTAGAGAAATTAAAATAAAAAAGGGTGCTTAGGCCATCTCCTCCATCTGAAGTGATTTTGATGAAAGCATTTTACTTTACAGTAGAGGAACAACAACAAAAAGATAATATGTATAATCCATTACCGTCCTACCTCAGTCTCCTGACTCGTGTGTGTCTGACACTGTTGTTGTTCTGTATCCGTTTGGCTCTCGTTATCGGACTCTCTGATGTCTGGGTACTTTTCACATTGTGTTTCTGCTTTTTCGTATGCTTCCTTTATCTGAGAGCTGTCACATGGACTTTCTGTTCCTTCACCTTTGGGAAAAAAAACAGGCATTTAAATGCGTCATCATTTCATTCATGACCCATTCTCTGAAAACCAAGCACTTCTGTCTCAATCTGTGATGTTCTGAAGATTCGTTTTTTGAAGTTCTAGACAGATTTGTTAGAGTCACAGACTCTATTTATTATCTAAATTTAGAATAAAGATCTACAGACTTTTATCAACAGAATCAACAGAGGACGCTTCAAGATCAAAACTGGAGAACTGTGTTTAGTCAAAAACATATTTTGAAAAAATAACAACTGTCTCCTACTGCATTATTTGGTTTTTACAAAACAAAAATGTATCATCAACAGCACCCAGAATGGAAGAATGAGACCCCGAGATTCATTCTGAGATTCTGAGCCACAACAGAAACTTTGGTTTGCTTAAAAAACTAAGCCAAAAAAGAGCAGACAAGAAAATGCCTGCTTCAGAATGTGAATTATGTCTCACCCAGGTAAAACTTGAATTTTCATCCCACAAAGAATCATCTATGCGTTATGTGTAATTCTAGAAATACACCTGACGTGTACAAGATGTTCCTGCTTTTGTATATTTGCATAATCTGCAAATAATGGGGATAACTAATTTATCATGCAGTGGTTAAAGATGGAAGCTGTTTAAACACATTCTGGAATGCATAATGAGTTTACAGTATTTTTAAGCAGATCAGAAAGAGTTTTAACATTGCCAATTTAACATTAGAGTATGTTTTTATAATACTGACCAGCATGGAATAATTTTGTTACATTATGGTCTCAGGGAATAATAAAAGACAAAAAGCTCTTAGATATACATATATATTTGAATTCTGTTCTACTGTTAATTGGATAACATTTCCTGATCAAATTCCAAGACGCATTATGGCCATTCGAGTACTTATGCATGTCATCTTTAACTTCGGGTCATGATTAAACTTCACCTTATCAGTAAAATGACTGCTCCACAATCACAGTATTAATGGGCACTGAAATCCTACCTGATCTCTTGCGCTGCGTCTCAGTGGCAGACAGTAAATTAGCCTCCCCTGACTCTGCACTGGGAACTGTTTTCAGCATCTGACGTCCACAACTGATAAGGAAAAGAAAACAGAAGTAGTTTGAAATAAATCTTATTAATGTTGGCTGATACGTTTATCCAAAATGACTTCCCTTTTTACCCGTTTATACACTTGGTCACTTTATTGTAGTAATCTGTACATTTCTAAAGGATACAACAGCAGTGACACGTCTAGGATTAGAATACACAACCTTTTAGCTACAGGCACAGAGCCCTTCAATGGTCTCAGAGCAAGGCACTCTAAATATCATAAATCAAATTTAATAGTCAATATTCAGCTTGAATCAGAGCCATACATCTCCATGCATCAAATGGGCAAAATTAATCACAAACCTTCAACACCAATTCAAGAACTGCACAAAAAATGAAGTCTTGCATTTAATCCAGTCTTATGGTGCATGTCTGTTGCACTGGAATACTAACTAACTCCAGATCTACAGGAGAGTGGTTACCTTGTGCAGAGAGGAATGCTTGAAGTCCTGAACTGTTGCTGGAAGTCCGGAGAGCTGAGTGCGTATCCTAGGGGTTTATGCAGGTTGACGCTGGGTTTGGTGAGGAAATCAGCAGTGTCTGGGAACTCAACTGGGGAACGTGTCACCAGAGACCCACTGCCACCGGTTGGGCTGTGGCTTGGAGAGTTCACTGGACTCAGACTGGGGGACGTGCCTCAAAACAGAAAAACTAGGATTATTGACCTTCCGATTTTAAGCATATACACTGTCATCTTTTAATGTAAAACGCAATAGACTGAGTGAAAGTAAATGGAAATTCACTAGAACAATTTAACCATGACTTGTCAGGATGAACAGATGTCCTGAAAGTTTAGCAAAGGTTTTCTTGTTAGCAGGTACACTACCTAGAAATCTGGCGATCTGTGGATCTCACCAAGAAAGATTGGACAAAGTCAGCATTTTCCTGGAAGAGCTTTAAGAAAAATCAGACGCGTGCATGAAAACGTGGTGAATTACAAATAGGAGGTGGTAGCTTCCCTCTGACCCAGAAATTCCAAGTTATGGAAGATGATGAACTGCAGACAACGTGTGGACATTATTCAGAAAAGCGGGGCAGCTAACCCTGGTCTCCTGGACAGATGTTAAAGTCAGACTTCTTCATCCTGACCTGGATAAAACTCCTACACTTTAAACCGCAAAGTAAGCACTCATTATCTACGGCTAACATGCTGTAATGCCCCTGAAGTGGAAATGGGCACTGCACTTCAGTGGTGAATAAAGTGAGGCTTCTTTTGCCACTGTCACATCGCCACCCTTCTACATGGAAAGTGTTGTCCAAATGCAAGGAACTACTGACAGTTCAGTGTGACTTAAAAACCTGTACTTGTCCTACTTAAAATGGTGAATAACCTTGTTTCAGAAACAGGCCGCCAAGGGATAAAACTATATCCAACAATTCAGTATGATGTATGGTCGTTATCATTCTTTTGTCACTGTTTTTGTGTCCATTTTAGTAGAAGATGTATATGCTTTTGTTGTATATTTAGTGTCCACACTTTTTTTTGCAACGCCGAACCTTAGCACTAAGATTATTTATTATTCCTTTCAATCCTGCTGTGAAATGTATTTCTGAAAAGCTTGTGTCACATTTAACTGTAGATGTTTTTTTTCCTATATTATTCAAACAACAGGCAGTGATATTCAATCACAGCAAAAATGCCTTGTTCTCAACATCGGCGACACAATACGATGAGAGACTGATTCATCAATGCACTGTCATGGAGAGCAGCACACTAGATTTACAATTTGTATCATAGCTCTTACGCAGCAAATAAAAAGAATTATAGCCCTCATTTGTTTCTCAAATAATATCCAACATTAAAGTTGCTTCTCAAATGTCAACTGACTCCTCAATAAAGAAGATTATGCTTGACATTTTAAGTGGTGTGTCAACTGGTATATCTCACACAGCAACAGAGATGTAAAGCATCCATCACTTGAAAAGCTACTTGAAGTTGCACAGAGCAACTTTCTCTTTTTAAAAAAAAACTGCTTGCTCAAACTCAAACTGCTTCACTTTCTGGAGTTTCTAACAGAAGTTCAGGAGGAAGATTAGCTCCTAATCTCACACACTTCAGCGTGCCTGCATAATTGAGTCTCGTACCTAGGTCTTCTGTTACATAGATGAATAGATTAATTGTTAGAGAAAATTAACCACTAGTTCAGTACTTCTGTTAGATCCTAATAAATGTGACAGAGGGACAAAACATGTAGAAAGTATCTGACGTGACTCTTCCAAGCTAATGTCAGCCTATCTATGTGTATAGGATGCTCAAATACCCCCCACTAACGTCCATCTATCACATGTTTATAAAAGCACAGTTAGGAGAAACTAAAGGTAAAGGTCCATCACCTGGATCACAATACAGTGTGTCAGACAAGGGCTTTGTCCAGCACCTACCTGCTCGTCTTGTTACGTGATGCGTCAGTGTCACAGACGAAGACCTTTGCTTCGGGATTGTCAAGAGGTTTGCATTGGAAGGTCCATTTGGCTGGGGCCCTGGGCTTTAAAAATAAAGAATAGTTTTCTAGACGCTCACTCTCAAAAGCCTCCGGCCAAGATTGTTGGCAAATACAAAGGGTGAGAAAAGACTTCACTACAAGATGCATCCACTAGACAAGTATTTTATGTGGGCAGATGGTTTCCGTTATTATGCTGTACAGAATAAGTTGTGTGTGTTTAGTGCAATGTGTGTACAGTCCACAGCATTGAAGCCTGCGCAATCAGTGGTGCAAGTTCTCAGCTATCTAATTAAATCATGCAAAAGCTATTTTACTACTTTTACTTTTGCTTGGGTCTCGTTGGACATTCAAAAACAAGAACGGTATCCTTGACATTAAAAACAGTATGCCGTGGTTGATTCATTCAATTTATAAGTCAAACCACCAAGTACCAGCAGGTTTGAAGACTTAGATCATAACTCAACATTGCACTGCAGCTGTCTAGTTAATGATGACAAAAATGGAACAACACAAGAGACTGCATCAAATGCATGTATCAATAAATTAACATCATAAAGCTGGCTCCAACAGACACACATCTATGTGGACCATAATTAAGGACAGTTTGCATTCTAATGGCTTTCAGCCTAGAGTTTTAAGGATTGATAATGTAAACTGCATTTAAAGTCTCATTTTGATCCATATAAAACTACCGCAGTAAGCAATTACAATATGTTAGTCAGAGCCTGATAAAGATATAAAATTACACATTCTACAAATATGTACGTTCTACGTTAGATAAATACTTTAGACTTAGTCCTCAGTGATCACAGCTTTTAAAGAAAATAGTTCTTCTACTGAAATTACAATCTCTGTTTTAAATATTTAATTTATTGGAAAACAACTGCAACTATTAAAAGATGCACTTGTATAATATTTTACTGTTTTGGGGGCTTTTCTTTAAAAGTTGTCTTTGTAGAATGAATGGGCATTTTTGATGCCACTCTAAAGGTTCTGCTGTTGATAACAGAAAGGGTTATGGCAAGGTTTCAGATTGAACTCTCAGTATTCAGAACATAAACAGTGTTCATAAAATATAATAACAATAAAAATCTGTAAATGCACAAGTGATGCCTAAATATTCCTCTGCAGATACTTGGAACACTAATTCTGGAGAAGGCCAAGTGAGTCATCTGAACATTTTGCAGCTACAACAGTATTTCCAGATCTTCCCCTGTGAAGCAGAGCTGTGGGTTGTGTTCAGAGTCTGCCATCTACTGTGGAAATGAGGAATTGCACTGTTGGGCTGCAAAAAGGCAAAATACTGTTTTTGTTTCCACAGATCAAAATGTATACCATCATTTCAAGAAAAATACTAACAATACATTAAAAATTTGGGGTGTCTGTCTATAGATAAAATATGTTTATTCTTAAATTGATTTTAAAAAAGCATCATGATGATGTAAGCATGGCGTACCTCATAGCGCTAAATTCCTGATGAGGTCGTTTTCCATTAGTGCGCTCCCAACGAGCAGCCTCCAGAGACGGAAGTGTAGAAGATGATGTTGAGCTTCGTCGTAGCTGTTGGGTGGGTAGGCTATTCCTGCTGTTCATTCCCTGGGTGAAAGAACCAACGCATACCAAAAATCAATTTGTCATGTACAAAAATGGAAAAAGTTCACAGCATTAGTCATCAATACACTAACACACACAATCAATCAGTATTCTGAATTAGAACCCCAGAATCTTCCCCAGAGGCTGTAAGCAAAACTGAAATTACATTTTAAGAAATCTCAATGGATTCATTTTTTTCTGCAAAGAAATTAGAGTAAACCTGCAAGCTCTTCAGCGGGCAGGCTCCTAAATATGTAATAAACTGTCCAAACATATTCCCATTAGCACTGCTTGTGTCATTCTCAGCCATTCTCAAATCTGTATATACTGTAACAGATTAAGGCAGTTATTCTGCATGCAATTTACTGTTAAAACCTGCTGAACTGTAACAAGACATTTAGGAACTTTTTCCTCAGTACATCTGAATATTTTTTCAGCACCATGAAAATTCCAATTCTGGCTTAAAGTCTACATCATGTATTCTCAATACACAGTGCTTTGGCAAACAATAGAGAGGATGCCATTTTAGACAATACTTTATTTAGAGACTTAGAGAACCCCAATCCGGTTAGTCTTATAGGTCAACTGTTTTACAGATTGGCAACACCAGCAAGCTACAAATGAATTAAACAAGAAATGTGTTCAGTTAAGAGAACTCTGGTTCTTTATTGCTGAAAAGTAGCCCTGATCAACATCTAAGCTATGCAATTTAACAAATGACTTGTTGAAATGATCATCATGGCATTGCTCCATGTCTTAAGAAACTGCTGATTTAATAGTGGCCCTACAAAACCTGCTGGTCTGGGGCTCTCCAGGACCGGGGCTGGAGCTCAACAAATCCTACAGATCCGTTTGTAAATCAGAAAACAAATGTTTCAAGCACTGCGACTGACCTTATGGGGCTTTCTCTCTCCTTTCTCTGTAGGGTCCTCCATCTCGGTGCAGGGGTAGAACCCAGGAAAAGGAGTGAAAGGGTTAACCCGAGGCCGGCACGACCCCGAGAAGGTTCCCATCAGGCTGCTGATGCTGCGCAGGGAGGCGATGACTTGAGGAGACAGGGAGGAGTCCGCCAGCAAGTCGGAAACCATGTTACGAGCTTCGTTGATGACGGAAAGGTCCACGCCGTTCCCACTTGCAGCACCCTGACACAAAAAAACAGCTACACTCGGACCCGAGCATACAGTATGTACAGTGTGTCTGTAACGCACGATAGAGGCTGAGCCAACTGAAAATAGCTTTGTGATTCAAAATAAAAAATAATCAAAATGTCTCCCCGAGGTGGCAATACACATTGTACTATGGCTATAAACCTATTTTCCATCAGATAACTGGAACAGTCTACCTATACCACTAGTAGACACTTACAAAGAACTTCCACTACCTGCAGGTATCACCTGATATTTCTTCTTCTTGTTATTGTCACCTGTGCAACACTGTGCCTTTATCCCCTGATTGTGGATGATAAAAACTGAATAAACACACAAATATTACATCTGCTTCCTTTCAGTTCTGACAAATGAAGACAAAACATATTAGATAATATTTAGGAGCTGTGTCTTTAATAGAAATAAAAGCTCAAACTTTGTAAAATGTCAAAAGTAAGGCGAATAAGAAAGGAAAAAACAGCACAGAATGCGAATTGAGTACAATACGTCTTCAAATTCCATCTCATATACTGTACAATTTGGTCTTATATTAACTCCTTTATAAAAGGGGTAACTAAGTACTGTAAATGTACGGTCACATAAATGAAGCACACTTTGCTTCTAGTTACAGTACCTCCTCCACTGTACTGCATGAAGATTTCTCAGGTTGTGGCAGATGTGAAACCATCATGCTTGACAAGCTCTTGACTGTGTTGTAAAGTAATGCTGCTTTTCCACAAACACACACACACACACTTGAGTGCCCCACTGATTAACCTTACCACCTGTGAGATTCTTTTATGTCTGACTCTGAACGCACCGAAGACAAAGGGGAAAACAGAGGCCTGTTTATTAGATATGGCCCTAGAAGTGACCTCAGTTGCGGACAGCTGCACATCTTTTAAAGAACATCCTGTTTTCTTTGCCTGTGTTGTTACCACAGTGTACTTAATGGGTGACATGTTTTATAGCCCTAAATGAAGCAGAAGAAACCGGAATGAAGTTTGGCAGCATTATGATAAAAAAAATGTTTTTTAACACTGAACTTTTTAAAAATCAAAATGGATTAAAAATGTAATGTAAAGATACATTTTAATTTTGTGCAAAAAAGTTTAGATATATTTAAATTAAGAGTTCAAATGCTTCCATATTTATTGCTATTGTAAGACATGCATGATAGACGTAATATCAAACATTGTGTCCCAGTACCTAGTTTATGCTTCTCATTAGACTCCTACTTAGTGTGTTCTGCCTCCCCTTGGTTGTCTCCTAACCTTGAGATCCATAAGCACTTTAAAATGTTTAACCAAGTTACATCTCTTTCAAAGGCTCACAGATGGAAAGCCTACAAAAGCTAGTTTGTCCCTCTTTTCCACCCTCTAATGGACATTTATTTAGGCCTTAATTTCACTACCATTACCACTTTCAACAAAGGCATTGTAACACATTCCTTTAAAAGTTCATATTATTACAAAATTCACATTATACTGTATGTTTTACACTAGGGTTTTATTAGTCCACTGATATCAGTAAAAAATGATTGTTTGATCCAGCTCTGCTCATATATGAACATGAAGGGAGTGAAGACTATGCCAAGGCCACCCCTAAACTCCAGCCATCTTTCATTTCGCACAGCACCTTAACTGCTTGAGGCACTAGGGACCTGTAGCTCCTCCAAACAGGAATATTTAATAGATTTCAAAGGCTTTTCATCTGAAACATCTTTAAGGAGATAAAACATTTCTTTAAATTAAAAAAATGTGCAGTATATAAAAAGCAAATAAGAAAATGTTTTAAATCAACCACTACCTCCGTACAGATATGGTGCATAGCTATGACTTGCAATACAACAGCACATGCTTGGCTGCCATTCAGGTTATAGGACTTGAAATGCAGTGGTATTTTGAACCAAATTGATGTCTATAAACCATGAAGAGGTTGTGAGCTTCCAGGGCTTTCACTGAGAAATGCGATGTTCCTCCATTCAGTTTCATTTATTTACAATACTGTAGGACTCACAGGGTGTAAATGTATTTACCCCACTATAGGACTCACACTGTATAAACTGCTATTTTTCCATCCATCCATTTTAGGATCGCTTCCTCCAGTTCAGGGATTCAGGGAAGTCGGAGCCTATTCTGGCAAGCAAGAGGTGCAAAGCAGGGTACGCCCTGGACAGGACATCAGTCCATCACAGGGCAGACAAACATACTGTAAACACACACACATGAGGGCCAGTTTTCCCAGAAGCCAATTAACCTATAAGCATGTTTCTGGACTCTGGGAGGAACCAAAGCAGCCGGAGGAAACCCACACAAACAAGGGGAGTTCATACACACTCCATGCAGATATTCCCCAAGTCTGGAATTGAACCCCAGGCCCCAGCACTGCAAGGCAGCTATGCTGACCACTGCTACCCTAATCTGGCATTTAGCTCTGGTAAAATGTTCCTAAAGGTTAGAGGTCACCATAGTGGTTAACAGGGTTATCTGATTTACAGCTGGAAATACAACATTCTAAATGGAAGAGGCATAAAATCAAATAACAGGCTACTATTTTTTTAAAGACAGTACTTTTTACAGAACTATGATTAAAAGTAGACTCACATTAAGGGAGAAACGTCTGCAATATCAGTGAGCGTGGCCAGTTTAGATTTGTGTTAATGTGGCGAAACGGTGCCACCTAGTGCTTTTAAAAAGGCACTGATAATAAAGATATACTGTAGTACTAAACACCATCTAAGAAATCAGATCAATGTGTCTTATTGATCTTTCAAAGTTTCTTATGCATACACTAATGTAGAGTATAACAAAAGCTCAACAACAATTCATAAATGGTTAATTTTACCTTATGCTGTGTTGCATTACTAGTGTTCAAAGTTTTGTTATTAAAGAAAGGTAAGAGTACAGTACTACAGTATATGGCATGTTTTAGGAGTATAAGAATTAGTTTCAAAAGATAATAGGTCATTTGGTCCTATTAGATTGTCTAAGGATCATCTGTGACTCAAGGTTATGAATTTCAACATGACTGGGGAGTTTGATGCAAATTCCCACAACTCTTTGTGCACAAATGTACTTTCTGCAAAAAAACAGTCACAGTAACTTAAGGCACCTCTTACTAGCCTAGATGAATTCAAGACTTTGCTCTTGAAAGGCTGCACAATAAAATGAAATTCTGACACTACTGCATGAACAGACCACCCTAAAAGCTATTCATGTGATGCCATTTGCAAATTTAAAAGAACTGTATTAAATAAAAAATGATGAATAATAAAGTAATTTGTGCTAATGAAAAACTTTTTTTTACAATTTCATAGAGTTTCCAAATATCCTACTGAATATTATTTGGTAATGATCTGTAAAAAGGTGTATAGGGAAACTAAAGAAAACGTTTACAGTGAAATAAACCCAGACCTTGCAGCCTACAGATCTTACCTGATACTGGGGTTTGTACCATTGCTTCAGGTCCCAGTCCCAAAGAATCATCTGTAAAAGAGAAAAACACAGTTCAGTTCACTTCACTGGTGAAAAGGAGCAATAATAACACACTGCATGACACAGTCATAGCCATACTGGGCACGAACAAAGTGTGACCTGCAGTTTTAAACATGATGTCATCTCATCCCCCAGACAATTACAGAGCTTTGTTCAGAGATTGAGGAAGCTGATCACCACTTCAAGTATATATAAATAGCTGAAGGGAAGACACTGTGCTATACTGAAGTAGTATGCAAATATGGGACATGTTGTAAAATAATACTGGCTAGGGAAAAGTAAACATAAAATAAAGCCTATGGACACTATAGTTTTTCTTAGATGTTTTTTTCCCATTTTGTTTTCACCAGTTATAGGTGTATAGGTGAACTTTACATTTGTTATTTAGATTAGTAAAACCACACAATTTTAAGATCTATTAAACATTTTATGTCTATACAGACATTCACCTACAAATAAAGTGAAATAAGAAAAACTGCCTGCTTGAAAAACAAAACTTGTTTTTTCAGAATTGTTTTTCTGATACGTTCTACAGTATGTGTTATCTGAAAACCTACAGTACACAGCACTTGCTGAATGCACTGTGTGCAGCCTGTAAAATGAGTTCTTTTTTTACCCCTAAGAACTAAGCCTTTCCTCCATATCCTTTTTGTAACGCTAACATTTTGTAATGTTATTTTAGAAACACAGTGGTAAAAGGTGTACTCCCTCTTAGTAACGCACAATTCACAGATGTTCATTCGCACTCATCTTTCACTTCGATATGCTCTAGCTGAGGCATGTGTCAAGTGAGTAACATACTACGAAGTAGCAAAGATCTCTTATCTATCACGAGACTAAACACAGCATATCATGAGTTTACAGGAGTTTCTCCCACGCTGACAGCATGCCTTCATCTACTGAGTCCAACCTTTCCACACAGAGACATCAAAGAACTCAGATGACCAGGTACCTACAGCACCATTTGCCAAGTAGAGTCATGGCCAGTTTTTATTTGTTTGTAGTCCAAAGGTCTCCCTATTTTTTCCGTTAGATAATAAAAAAGAAAAAATGTGGATGAAGAGGGAATTATAAAAAACTGCTTATTAATAAATCTGTCAAATTAGCTACATTTTTAAAGGCAATGTAGATTTAATTAACATTAATTCATTGCTGCTGATTCACAAAAAAAGTCCTAAATATTGAAACACTGTATCTATTAAATTAAATGGTAGGTCACAAGAATGTCTAAACAAGGCTGCTCTGTTCTGTATAAACTCTGTCCTTAAGGGAGGAAGCTGCACTGGATACATGGATTCGTACCGTCCCAAGTGCAGTGAACACAGTTAGCACAACTAAAACAAGCCAACAAAAAAGCAGCATAACTGCATTCAGCTTCATTTCCTTCAGAATTTATAATGTTATAAGGTTTTTGAGGTACGTATTCATTTTTGGTGTCAATTATATACCAAAATCCTAGTACGGAAATCGTAAATTGTGGTATGCAACACAATAGCGAAGTTCTCTTTATCTTAACATTTACTTCTGGGTTACAGTCTTTCGGTGAATTGAGATTAAAACCAAACTTATGCCTCATGCAAAAAAAACAGAAAACCACTAAAACCGCAGTAAAACGTCACCAACGGCCTTTCAGATCTTATCAGGCCTAATTACGTCAATTGGGTTTTATTTTCATGTTATCTGTGCAGACAGAAAACTCACAAAACATGAGGCCACTCAAACAGTGTTGGCATTGTGCTTGACAAAACTGCTTAGACTTTTTGACATCTACTATTTTATACGTATACTTTTCTTCCACAGTTTTATCAAGCATGGCTGAATAGGCCACCATCATGACTTGGAGAGGAGAACAAATAAGAATCAATCTGTTTCACACATGTGACATTTTCAAACAGATATTGAGCCTTAATATAGGTTACACCCACAAGCTGTTTGAGGACTTCAGCAATAGAAAACATATTACAATACAGTCAATTAAATTGTGTTTTCATTGAAGAATTTCAAGATCAGGATTTGATACCTACAAGAAATTTTAAGAAAACAACAAGACAGGGCATAAAGAGCATTAAGCAGGATATATGATACAAAATAATCAATTTTCCTGCATGCATGAGCTCAATATAAACACTTGGAAGGCATTTACAAAAATGTACTTGGTTTATAAACTTCTGTACACACAGTCTTATGCAACAAGACCCCTTATCTTAAAGACTTCAGTGGTTGTGCCACAAGGTGGCACACAATAGCTAAAGGGACCACTGATAACAGCTCTATTTTATTTTTCTGTACTGGTTTGGCTTTTCTCAAGATCCAAATGAGGACAAATAAAATACAAGAGTATAGCACCTCTTGTCACTTTATAATTATTCTGTATTTTAAAATGCCCCACTATTAAAATTCCCCCCCCGATAATCTTACCCTTTTTCTCATGTAAATCTTGAATGAATCATTGTTGCTGTGTTTAGAAAAAGGCTGATATACTTCACTCTTAGGGAGACATACTTGGTTTTCTATTTAGTCTGACCACTTTTTCTTTTAAAAAAACACCTTACAGTAGTTCCCCTGATGTGATCAAATTCTATCAACACATAAAACCGTTAAGAGAGAGTTTTAAAAGTGAAATGACCAGAATCAAACCGTATACATCAGGTATGAGTTATATTACATTTAACCTCTCGGTGGTAATTAGATCGATCTAAACACTGCATAGACATTCTGGAGAAACTGTCCTGCTCTGCTTCATCTAGTCCAGCTGCGATATGACTTACAGACACTCATCTCCGTCTTGTGGCTAAGGGTGTACAGAGTTAAAAAGAATTTGCAGGGTGAGCCACAATTCTCGATGCTTTTTTTTCTTCCAACAAAGAGAATTTGTTAATCCTGTCACACTGTCGTCTTCATATCCAAAAAGGACGCCTCTTCTAACAGCTGCCTGTGTACTGACATTCTCGTGTACAAGTTGTTTCATTCCTAGACAAAATTCCCTCGTTAAGCACCATGAATGAACAGAAATTTGGTTTAGATTTTTTCTGGAAAGCTAGGAAATATTTTTATAATAAAACATTTCATTGCAATAAATAACCTGATGTATTTACTACATTAGTATGAAATATGAACACCACTGGACCACCGAGATCTTAAATTCCTCATAAACCATTTTTATGATTTGATCATACAACTTCCCCTGTTTTGTGTTATGAATTATAATTAATTCTATTTCTGTTTTTCTGTTTTTGTGCCTACAATGAACCTATAACAATGAGTGTTTCTGGGAAGTGCTCAGTTTTATTTTCACTTAGAATATATTTTTGGAAAGCCTAAGTATCTTTTTTCTCCTGGATTTATATTACCTTTAGATGTTTCCAATAAAAATAATGGATTCTTCTAAATATAATTTAAAGCGACTGTAGATAAAAAAAATATCAGCAAAAGCATTTAACGTTTTCCCAAATTATTTAAATGGGCATACAGTTTTGCAAGCTGTTTAAATATTTATTTGTTTTTTTTCCCTTTTGTTGTTTATTCCAGATGGAGAAAGTACATTTTCTACACCCATTATTGTGCCTTTTTTTAGATCAGAAGATGTTTTCATTGATCAAATGGAAATGATCTTGGTTTGTCATCAGCATATGTTTGACACTGCTAGACATTAGTTCAGTAAATAAGTATTTCCATGACAACCCAGCATAGAATTAAGCAAACAATGATACAAACACCATAACAACTTGATGCCGGAAAAAAATGTAGGAAGTCATCACTTGTGGAGTATACAACATCTGTAACTTGGTGACACTGAGTAAGACTTATAGCTCAAATCTAACCTAGGTCTTAAGATCACAAGGAAGGTTAAAGATTAGAGAAGGCTCCCTAGAAAAATGTCAAAATTCAAAATCTGTCTTGACATTTCTTCTGTATGATTATGAGACCATCTGTTAAAATCGACCTTAATGAATTAAGATGTTGTAGACAATGTAATCTGTTATATAAATTAAGTCACCAATTGTATTTTCTAGATTTCAGTGATTTCTTTGAATCTCACTGACTAACACATACATTACATTAGGCTGCTTTTAGCTTGCTATGCTACCCTTCTCTTCTTCGCAATAAGGTCAGTCTCGCTTATAAAGAAAAAAAAAACAGAAAAAACAGAAAAGTAACATATTTAAAAGTCCAGGTTCAGAGAAAGGGCATAAAGCTCATCTTACGGCATTTTAATGGTGATGAACTGAGCATACTGAAAGTATTTGTCTGACCTCGTCCGGTAGGTCTATAATACTGTACAATGCATCTGCAGCTGGAAATGTACAGCTAGCTACAATACTTCTTTTTACTTTGTACAGGCAGCTAAAGTAACTGCTTACTACGTTTATTTTCACATACTTGTATCTTAAATATTATAATAAATAATAATGCTGTTGTGCAGATACGATACAATATGTAATTGTAAAACAAAAAAAACATTATGTCATGAAGCTGCAAGTCCTGTACACACTCTACAGCAATGCTTAAGGACACAACCTGCTTGTCAAGACAGTAGTTTCCTGATTCATAATTCATTACAACTGGTTATATCCATTTTTGGAGTGTACTGCATATTTTTGCTTTCTTTTTGACAAAGCCTTAATTTTCTTAAGGATATACTACATGTCCACATATCAACCCTTCATTTAGCATATACAGAATGGTCTTGACCTGACCTGATTCATTGCTGTGGTAAACAGTTCACACACTGAGTGTCAATCAATAAATTGTATTATTATAGAGTGCCTTTCAATAATTCTCAAGACACTTATCATGAAGTCTACAGCTAAAAAATATAGTAAACAAAAAGGACAATAAAAATATGTATGAATGTGACACTAAGGGAAAGAAATATGGATTGCAGGCCACTGAAAACAAGTTAGATTTCAAACAAGCTACATTTTTAATACGGTCAGAAAGAGTATTCCAAAGATCAGGAACTAGATCCCCTAATTCACAATGGGAAGACG